TGGAACATATTCAGTAGAAAGTCAGGAATGCCCAGACAGTTATCTGCTGCCAGCCAGGCTGCACATTAGCAAGAGCTGGAATCAGAAGCAGAGCTGGAAGTTGAACTCAGGACAATGACATGGGATGCAGATGTCCCTACCGGCAAATTAAATGCTATGCCAACCACCTGCCCCACGCTGAGGTTTTCTTAACTTTGTGCTGGCTCTTTAGGAAAATCTGTTTCTTCATTTTTTTTTTTTTTTGCACGTTGGAGTCTTTGAGGGAAAACACCAGCTCTCTTTCCCCATCCTAATTGTAAATCAAATAAGATAAATAAGAAGCACACTGCATCCAAAATATCACTTATAGCACTAAACCATCTGATATTAGAGCACGTGGCTTACTTTTGCTAGCAAGACTATTTCCTAATTGTAAACCTTGAAACAAAATTCTGCATGTGGCTGCTGAGCTTTCTCTTCCCATGATGTGTGCATGGGGGTATGGAGAAAGGAATAATAGGAGTGAGGAATAATTTATCTTTTCATCTCTTCCTCCTTTCCCCATGGCAATATTTTACTATTGACTTTCATGTATCATTGTAAATCAGACTGTTGAAGCACGTAACTCTCACTAAGTATCTAGTGGTAGCCAAGAATATCTATGTATCATCAAGTAGGCAAACTGAATATATCTTGCTGTATGAAGATTTGGTGACTATGTGTTGGTGTGATGCAAGAGTGATTAGTTAGTGCTTTTAGGTAAGTTCAAAATCAGTTACTTTGATAACAAAAGTCACATCTTATTTGATATAGCATAGACTACTATATGTATGTGTACACACACACACACACACACTTATAAAATGGAGAGCTGGCCAATTATGTTGATGGCTAAGTTGAATCTTTCAGTGCTGGGAATAAAAGAATTGAAAACTGAAGGAATATTATCCAATAATCTGAATAGCTGCCCACCACTGAATGTTGACTGCACGCTAGTTCTATGCCACACATTTGACAGACCTTATTTAATTGTACTGCAATGACTATGACTGTGTTGATCATTTGTTTATATGGCTTCTATCCTCTCTGTGGCCCAAGACTGACTTCTGAAAGCTCAGTTTCCTAGGCTCCCGTGCTGCCCAGCTTCCTGCTCGATTGTGGCAGCAGGAAAGCATTCATGTGAGATTGGGGTTGTGAAGGTAAAGCAAGGGCATTTCGAGCCCTCACCTCCTCCCATGGAACCTCTGGCAGTTGCTCTGTGTCTTCAAGGACTCAAACTCCTACATCTAGCCTCTGGTATGGGAGTGACTTCCCACTGCTGCGAATCTGTGGTGTGTCTGCCATCTGCAGTTGGGCTTTTTAACTCCCCTGCTACCTTTGTTAATGACGTGTCCACATTAAATAACTCCTGTTAAATTCCCTATTCTTACTTGTATTTTCCTATGTGGACCTTGGCAAAGATAGACACTGTCTTCACTTTGTAAGCTGACTTGTCACAAAAGCACACAGTTCAAGGACAGGCTTTCAAATCAATCGTACCTAATCTCAGAGCCCAAGTACTTAAACCACTGTGCTGCATCCACATACAGTCCAAGTGAATGGCCAAGTGCAGTTTTCTTTTTCATTTGTTTAGAGATGTATTTGAAAGGCTGAGTGACACAAAGAGAAGGAGAAAGAAGGGGAAGGAAAAATTATCAGAGTCAGTGAACTCAGGGGGCTTCCATAGCCTTGGCAGCTCATGACAAGAGCCTAGGGTGATTACTGATGCCATAAACAAGAGTGTCAATTTGTTAAGTCAACAACAGGAGTCACTGTGCACTTACTCCTCATGTAGGATCGTTGTCCTTAGTGTGCTGTACATTGAGATTTAATGCTATAACTAGTACTCAAACAGTATTTTTCACTTTATGTTTCTGTGTGGGAGCAAACTATTGAAATCTTTACTTAATGTATGCTAAACTGATCTTCTGTATATAAAGAGAAATGAAAATGAATCTTGATGTGAATGGAAGGGGAGAGGGAGTGGGAAAGGGGAGGGTTGCGGGTGGGAGAGACGTTATGGGGGGGGGGAAGCCATTGTAATCCATAAACTGTACTTTGGAAATTTATATTCATTAAATAAAAGTTTAAAAAAATATTCAAAAAAATTTAAAAAAAAAAAAAGATCTGCTATTCATTTGTTCATTCACCAAATGGTTGCAATGGTTGTGTCAGGCAAATCCAGGAGCCTGGAACTCTATCTGGGGATACCATATGGGCAACAGGGGCCCAAGCGTTTGGGCCATCTTCTGCTGCCTTCCCAGGCACATTAGTAAGTAGCTGCATCAGAATAGGAACAGCCAGCCCTCCAATAGGCCTTCCAGGCTTCACAGGCCAGCCACCAGTTTTCATTAATCGTGCCTTCCTATTACTTAGCTCAAAGTACCTGCATTGTTACAGTAACTAGCTCTTCTCATTCAGATATCCACGTGTCTCTTATGCAAATTCTTGAGAGCAAGCACATGTGACTAATCTTTGTGTCCCTAGCACTCACTACTGTGCTTGGAATGTAGTTGAGCCTTAATGAATATTTGTGGAATGAATCAACGATAATCACTGTCATTTTGACAGAGTGAGTATTTTATTCCAGTAACCAGGCTAGGTTTCTGACGTAAATTTTATAACTCAATCTTCATAATAATTTTGCAAAGCAGGTATAAATAGTCCAATATCAGAGATCGAGAAAAATAGGCTCAAAGAGTTTATAAACAACTCATGACCAATCTTGGATTAAACTCAGACTAACTAGATTCCAGGGTCTGACATTTCCGCTATATCTTGTTGCTTCCTTATATCTATTCATGTGACTATTAGAAAGACATAAATATGTAGGTTGACAAAAAAAAAAAAAAAAACCTAGAGTTTTTAAAAATTAGATTTCCAGGTATTTTTGGAGTCTTGTAATAAACAGATTAAATCTTTTCATGCCATAAATTTAATGGAGATAAAATTTATGACTATGTAGACAAAGAGGAGAAAAGAATTATGACAATAATCTGAAGAAATTAAACAGTACCTGTTGTGGCTTAAGATAAATCAGAGATAGACAGTAGTCAAAAGGGTGAAACAGATTTTACTCAGGAACTGTTTTGTATCAGAAAAGAGACCTCAGCGTAGCTCTGGACACACTTCATTGTCCAGTGGAGCTTAGAGCCAAGGAGCAGAGTAGGGGGCAGTGGATGGAAAATTCCTTAAAGGAAACATCAGAGGTAGGGGAGGATCTTGGCAAAACTAACTTAGCAAGATTCTAGCTGCAGGCACAGGCTGGATGATCAAATATCATTTGGGGAAGAGGGTGCAGAATAAAGACCTTGATCAAATATTTAGGTGATCAAATATCAAGGGTGACAGATTTTCTCGAACTTGAATTAGTAAGATTCTCCTCCAGAGGGGCAACGCAGGGTTAGATAATGAAGCACAGGCCTGGAGGGTTTACAGTCTCCTGACTAGTCCCTAATCCTCCTATGGGATTGTATAGTTCAGAACTCATATGATGATGATATTCACAACCAGCTCTCCTAAGCATAGAACTCAGCTTTCAACATTACTCTGCCATTTCCTAGCTCTTATCTGGGGTTAGGGCATTATTCCAAGTAGCGAGGTAAGTACTTTTACTGCTGGGTTGCTGATGAAGGATTTTTGCTTGTGTTTCTATGAGTGCAAGTCTTTGCTTTGTAGAGTGAAATTGTGTGTACGGGTGATAGTCAATGGCTTAGTTAGGTTTCTTCTCTAGTTTTTCCTGGAGTGATAGACTCTAGGAATCTCCTCTGAACACAGGAAGTAACATCGTATCCATTTTAGGAGGTTGACTTGCAAAAGCCATTGTGTTATTGTTTAATTTCTGATGAAAACAAAACAATCCAGGCAAATGGATTTGGTAGGCATCACACAAAAGGTCACTGTTAAATCTCCACGTGCTTCATTGGCGCGTACTTGCTTGGTTTCGTATTGGTTGAAATTGTTGCAGCTGCATCAGCCAAGCTGCTGCACCCTTCTCACAGAGCCAGCAGCTTATGTGGAGATCCTGAAAACAAGTGATTTCCATAGATTTTGCTGAAGTGACTCTATTTTCCCAGGTAAAGGATTATCTCCTAAGTTCTTCATGTATGTGCCACTAGCTTTGCCATGACAAAACCTTTATTTTATTAATTCAGCTATTTAGAATAATGTGAAGCTAAATGCTTGCATTTCACCCAGAGGATTTCTAATTATCACAAACTGCCAAAATTCTTAACACTGGGGAATAAGCACAAAAGAGACTGTTTATTCATTTTGTCTAAAATTGTGTTCCATCAGCGGGTATCAAAGCTTAAGAGTAGCAGTTCAGTGACTACTAGTTATGTGAGATTTAAAAAATTCTGCAGAAGGCTGTATGACAATATGTATAGAGGTAGTTAATGATTCTGTGTGTACACTTAAATATTTGTTAAAAGCAAAGATTTCTTCATGTTTTAGGGTTTTTGCTACCATAAAACAAAACAAAACCACCCAGAGGTGTGACCCTCTACCACCTTGGTGTGAGCATGCATATTGAAATATTACCTGTTATCATCTGAGTGCCAATCAGCAGTTAGAGAAATGTCCTGATTCTCCCCATTTAAACAACTTCAGCAAGTGGTTTCTGTTAGCAGCGATAATCGACTGGGATTTTCAGTAATGATGTATGAGCCCTAGAAAAGAAGCCACTTTGTAAACAGCACTGTGATAACAAAAGAGGACTGTTCACATGCCTGGTATTTGCATAGATCCAAAAAAACAGCACTGACTTTCCTGATTTGGGGTCAAAGTCTCAGTGGTGGCTACTGGCATTAACCGTTGGATTTCATGGATTTTGTTTAATGAATGAATGACTTTTATTCAATTACTTATTTTCCCATATGAAAATGTTTTAAATGTACCTGAAAAGATAATATGTTTTCACTAAATAGGTTGGGAAGTTAGGGAAGGCTTATGGCTAACTTAATCACACTGAATTCTTTCTAAGAGCTTAACTTAAAATACTTTTGCTTACCCAGTGAAGAAAATGGTTTATAGAACCCTTGAATATAACAAAAAAATATTTTTTGAAACAAGTTTTTTTTTTGTTTGTTTGTTTGTTTGTTTTTTTTAAGAGAGAGTTATAGACAGTGAGAGAGAGAGAGACAGAGAGAAAGGTCTTCCTTCCAGAAGCCAGGAGCCGGGTACTTCCTCCCAGTCTCCCATGCGGGTGCAGGGACCCAGGCACTTGGGCCATCCACTGCTGCCCTCCTGGGCCACAGAAGAGAGCTGGACTGGAAGAGGAGCAGCTGGGACTAGTACCCGGCGCCCCATCTGGGACTAGAACCCAGGGTGCTGGCGCCGCAGGTGGAGGATTGGCCAAGTGAGCCACTGCACCCGCCTGAAACAAGTCTTTAACCCATGGTGGAAAACATGCCCCAGATGGTCACTTAGGGTTACCATTTATAGAAAGACTTATAGAATTCCCCTACATGATGGTTTTCTATGGCACTAACTCCAGTTTCTATGCCCCCTAGCTTTATGTAAGAAACAGGCATTTAGAATAGTCATGTTCTTAATCACCAAAAAGAGTGAAGACAACTCTGACATGGTTGAAGAGCTTTCTTATTGGTTGATAGGATGACTATACGGAGATTAGACAATGGCAAAGAGAGAAAGGAAAAGATAGCGAGAGAGACTGGGTTCTAAATGCATGAGAAGGGAGAACCAAAGGCAGCTGAGAGGTCTGTGATGAATCTATATTTGCTCTATAATTAAGTCATGTGTTTCTACTCTTTTGAAAAATTGTCCCATTCTATCAGTTTTTTTCCAAAACTAGTGGCAGGTTCTTGCACCACAGCTAAGATGATTTGCAATTTTACGTGGGAGATTTCAGCATGAGTTCATTTGTATGATTGTTCAGAATTACCAAGTGTGTCTCTATAGCTTTCATCTATAACCTGTGTTTCTTTTCATCAGTTAAAAGCACATGCCAAACAAGTTGAATTTCATTTCTGTTTGATTCCATTCCAATGTGTTTCATTTAGAAGTTGTCTTATTATTTATTATTTATTTGAAAAGTCAAATAAAAGTATAAGTTACTTGGCATCCGTATCTAACCACCTTCCACAGTAGTACCTCCCACTCTCTAACTAGTGTATTTTCTGCTTAAGACAGCTTGACTGTCTGGCTCGCTGCTGACTTTGGGTTCTTGGCACAATGACTGGCGTAGAGCAGACACACTTTAAATATTTGCTGTATCTGTGAGACAATGAGTAAAGCGCACCGAGTTCTTACACAGCTGTTCAGTTCCTATTGCCTTAATGTGTCTGACTGGGATTCACCAATTTAATAGTTAAGGCAGTTTGGTTTCTAAAAATTAGTGCCCTTCCTCATCAGTTATTAAAGGGATATTTTTCAAAGGACTCAGTTAACTTAGATGTCATAGGGGAAGTGTTTTCTTTCTTATTGCTTGATAAGGTGACGATACTGGGCTCAGATACTGCTGAGGAGACTATTAAGATATTCTCACAACTTAAAATAGATTTACTTGAATACATACTGTTAAAGTAAAACTACTTTGGTTTTGGTACAAAACACCACAGTAGTTTCAAGATATAAAAATAGAAAAAAATTTTGGGCTCAGAACCAAAGATTAATAAATTTAACAGAATTTGTTATATTTTTGTTTTACATATAAAATGCATGCCTATATGTTATAGATACATATAGATACACATATCTATACCTATTACATTTATAATGGTATTACAACAACTTTGTAGAAGAATGGAATTAAAAGACAAACTTATTCGGTACAAAGAGATTTTGAAATCTATGCATAATATGTATTTTTTGCACGAACTCTTTGAAGACTCCTCATATGTCTATATACTTATCTTCATTTACATGCCTCATTTTTCTTCTAAATCTTACAATTGCAGGATTCTTTCTGAGATCACAGAATTATTTGTTATTTTTACTTCGGCTAGTTCCATGATTAAAATTCTATGTCTCCCCAGGTTTCCGTGAACCAGCAGTGCCCCAGAAAGTGTTTCCCTTCCTGAGACTCCAGGGAAGTCTTGGAATGCAAAGAACTTGAAGAGGGAGCCTCGCCAATTAAAGACTTTTGAGCCTTAGTAGGTTTCCTGGAGCAGATTTTTAGCACAAACACTAATCAAAGTCTTTGTGTTCTTAAAGCAGCAATTTTCATGTAAGTCAAAGGAGCTTACTTTGATTTTATTTGCTTTGGCTAAAGAAATGACGAGCTTTGTTTTAACCACGTAGCCAATATTTTACAAGGGGACCACAACAAGTTATTCCAATATCCTTAACCTCACTAAAGAGGAACTACAGTTATTCCATGTAAGTTTTCAAAGGAAAATCAATAATCAAGTCTCTCCGAATGCCACTATTTTCAAGATCTTAATCAAAAGCTCCCTAGGTAGCTCCGTAATATAATGGTTTCCAATTATGCTGTGCAGATTCAGTACTTTTTATAAAAGGAATTGGAATTTTGTCAATAATTTAATATATTTATGCTTTCTTAAAAAGATAGAACTCAGACCTTTCAAGATTCAAAACATAAACACCTTGAGATACTCAGAAGAGCAACATGGGAGAAACTGAAAAAAGGATTGAAACCCACAGAATAAGATGTCTTTCCAAGATGAAGGTATGGAATTCTTCTGTATGGATGTGTGTGTTTGTATGCATTTTTAAAATTTAGTTCCTGTAAAATCAGTCATATCTACATGAAATGATCTAATGTTAAAGTCATAGTACTGGATCTACTGATACTTTGTTACTCTAAGGGACTTGAAGAAGTTGATTTTGTAACTGAGGCTGTGCCTACATAGGATTATTGATTGATTCAGGAAATAAAATCAGAACCGGTTTTGAGGGACTTAAATATAAGACAGGATTTAGATTTTTCTTCTCAGGTACACATTCGAGTGTAGCATGATTTATTTTCCTAGATCAAAGACCAGTATAATGTCCATCTTTAAGGGGCTTTTAACCCCATGAAAGGTGCAGCTCATTGGACAGAAATGCTTTGTTGATTTGTATGCAAAGATTACTTCACAATGACCCAGTAAAGCAAAAGTTTTCTTCAAGCTCTGGCAGTGTAACAATCATTCGGTAGAAGACAAGTGCCCATTTTGCTAGCATTTTGTTTGTTTTGACAATTTCAGAACAAATTCTTTTTTTATTGCTTCCAAACAATTTTGTATTTCAACAAAATTTGACTTTATTGTAAACCAAGTACTCTAGGCATTTGTCTCAAGTCCACACTACTGCCTACAAGTGGTTTCTTAACTAAGACACTATTATCCATTTTCCTTCTTAAAATCTTGTTTGCCTTGTAGACATGTGTAGGAGAAATCTATGTATGACACAAAAGTGGAGAATTTCTACAAGAATCTCTAGTTACTTTTGCCTGAAATAGCACAGCACATTAATTAAGAAAAAACAAAACTTGCCCTTAATCACCAGTCAATTCTCATGTCCTTCTATAATTAAGTGGTTAAAAATCAGGAAATGTTGCTCAGGCTCCCTGGGCTCCTGAGTTCAACTGAGACATGCTGTGTGACCTTGAGCAAGACATTTAATCTCTCTGTGCTCCTATTTTCTCATGTGAGAAAAATAGTTACAATAGTCCTAATTCCTAGAATTTTTAAAAAAGTTTATTCACTTTTTATTTATTTGAAAGGCAGAGTGACAGTGAGTGGTGAGAGAGGGAAAGAGGGAGAGGGGGAGAGGGGTGAGGGGGAGAGGGAGAGAGGGAGAGAGGGAGAGAATCTTCCTTCCATGGTCTGCTCTCCAACTGCCTACTATCTGCAACAGCTGGGGTGGGCCAGGCCAAAGGTGAAATGCCAGGAACTCCATCCAGGTCTCCCATGTGGCTGATAGGCACTCAAGCATCTGAGCCATCATCTGCTGCCTCCCAGGCACTTTAGCAGGAAGCTGGATCAGAAGGGGAAGATGGTACTCTGATATGGGATGTGGGCATCCCAAGCAATTGCTCAACTCACAGTGACACAATGAATGGACCTAGCATTTCTTTGAATGCTGATGACTAGAATAGAGGTGGGTGCTGTGGCACAGTGGGTTAAGCTGCCACTAGTGATGTCAGTATCCAAATGGGCACTGGTTTGAGTCCCAGTTGCCCAACTTCTGATCCAGCTCCCTGTTAATGTACCTTGGAGAGCAGTGGGAGATGGCCCACTCATGTGGGCGATCAGGCAGAAATCTCTGGTTCCTGGTTTCAGCTTGGCCCAGCCCTGACTGCCGTGATCATTTGGGGAGTTACCAGGCTGATGGAAGACTCGCTCTCTGTCTCCCCCCAACCCTGGGAACACTGCCTTTCAATAAATAAAATAAATCTTTAAAAAATTTTAAAAATGACTGGCATATTGTAAACATTAAATAAATCTTAGCTATTACTCTTAGCAGTGTTTGTGGAAAAAAGTCAAGTCAGTGTTTTCTATAAACAGTAGGCTTTATATTTAAGTTTTGATTACTTGGACTTTAGCAAGATTAGACGGTGATGCGAATGCCATGACAACACAGTATAAGCACAAGTTAATCAGATAAAAATGAGAGGCAACTTCTTAATAAACAAATAGATTTTTCTGTTTCTCTGAACTTACAATATACTTGTTAAGCAAAAAATTCTTTAAGCATCATATTAGGACTATGCTCAGCAAATTGGCTTTGATTCCTAGGGCATTACTGTTAAAAGCTAGTAGGACTAACTTTACAAATAAATAAATTTTTCAGCACTAGACAAGAGTGAGAATACTAAATGGCTTCATTTAATCTGTGAATAGAACCAAATAATTTAGTAACTCCATTTAGGGGCTTTAGGAAGAGGATTGTGATCATCATACAACTAATTTCTTTTTAAAAATGTAAAATAGAAAAACTTATTTTCCCAAATCTGATTTGCATTCAATTTGACAGACCTTAGTTTTAAACATGAAACCTGAGATTTATGAAGATTGTTGTTTCTCAATAATATGGCTAATAAAATAAATAAAATAAAATGGCTCTGCAAAGGTGCATAATGGGAACAAAGACAAAGTTTCCATAGAATTTTATACAAAGATAAATAGCTAGAGATATAGTTAAATTAATTTGTGTCCTTACAATAGCTTTAACACATAATAAGCTTATTTCCCAGATTTTTCTCACATGAATTTTTATTCAGATATCCCTAAATTAATTGGCTTAGAGGTATATGCTATGATCTGAGAATCTGTGATCCCTCAAATTCAAATATTGAAATCCTGACCCCACGATGATGAGAGTGAGGGAAGGAGCCTCAGGAGGTAATTAGGTCATGGAGGGGGAGCTCTGGGGAGGGGATCTGTGCCCTTGTGAAGGAAGGCTGGACTTCCCAGATTCCAGAACTGTGAGAAATAAGTCACTATGGTTTAGAAGACACTCAGTTTATATTTTGCTATGACAACCTGAATGGACTAAGATGATGTACTTAATACCATTAGAGATCATCATGCTTTCAGCTCTGACTGCTGCTTCAAGATGCTTTTGATACTTACTCTGTTATGAAATCAAAAAACTTGGTCCTACTCAGAATACTTCAAAAAGTTCATGGAAAATGGCATTAAAGGAAAAGCTTATTCTTTTCTTTTCTACAAAAATCTTTGAAATGTATGCCTAGTTTTTTATAATATGCATTTCCATGAACTTTTTGCAGATAAATCAAAATTAAAGGCATCAAAGACACAAAAATAAGTACTATGTGGCTCCAATCTCTGAACTTCTCAGAAAGGAAATTATGGCTATCTAGACATATAAAGTACACAGTGACAGAGGGTGTAATAGATGTAGGCGTGAGGTATGGCAGTAGGATGAGAAAAATGAGTGGATGGCCAAGGACTCCTGGAGAGCATAGACAAAGAAGCTTCCTGATAGACATGTAGAAAGAAATGAGTTTTGGGAATTGAGTGCATATTTTACTAGATGCACAGTGGGTTAAATCACATGCTGTGTATTTTTATTAATTTATTCAACAAATAATTAGGCTCCAAATTAATGGCAGTGGCATGTAGAAGAGAGGTTGGAGATGGATTAGACTCGAGGAGACTACAAGTGATTGCAATTGTCTAACACACCTTGAATATATTAATAAGCTAAGAGTGAAAGGGACAGTGAGGAGTGCGAGGTTGTAAACAGGGCAATAATTGACGGCTCAGGATCTCATAATGGATTCAAGATCATGGGTGGAGGGATTTTATTGTATAGGAGAAGGGACACCTACCCTTCTACAACTAGAGGAAAATTAGAGGGCATTGAGATAGAGGTAAGCTTGCATGTGAATGATATTATTTGCTGGTCATCAAGAGTATGTGGCTGGTTTGACAATGAACCCAGAAGGGATTCTAAGCTATCTTGAAGGAAATGCATGAGATAGAAGACAACTTTTGTGGTTAGATCAAGAGTGGAGTTGTAGAAGGTGTAAGGGTAAAGATTTTTCAGGATTTGCTTCTGCTGGCTAGAGAACAGGTCAGATGATCTCCCAGGATGGAAGTGTCATCAGGAAATATCTTTAAGTAGGGTCAGGGAAAAAGCCCTTTGGCATGCAAGTGAAGGCTGCCATTCAGCTTGGCATAAACTGATGTGAAATTCATTGATTTTAAAGCAGTAATGAATCTAGCCAAGTATAATATTGCCCAGTATTCAGCCTTCCTGTCTTTAAACCCTTTACTAAAACTAAGTCTTTTACTTTCCGATTTAATAAATGTATCAGAATTTTAATCCTGGTGGTCACAATGGTTCTATTTGTGAAATCATGATTCCTATTCTTATAAATCATAATTTCATTGCTCACAAGCCTTCTAGAACTATAACAACACATAGAAAATGTGATTGTTTCAATATATGAAAATTTGTAATATGCATATGCATATGCCTTCTTTTCATTGAAGTGTATGTATATATTCATATTACAGACAGCATTATCGTTCTGAAAGTCTATTTGAATCAAGTTATATCTTACTTAGAATGACTCTGTTTCTATATATGTACAAGGCATATCTATAAAATAATGAGGCTATATAGTGTAGTATAATTAATTCATTAGTCTCACATTGAGTTTTCAGAGAAAACACATTGTAATGGAGAAGAAGATCAGACCATCTTTTAAAGTTTTGTAAATTCAAAGGTTATTAATTGGAGACAATCAGCCTAGTGCTGAAGCCTTTTTGTCAACAGATGCAAATATATAATTTAAAAATAAATTCATGTTTCCTTATTTTTATTCTTTCTAGATGTTTCTGATGGCAATAACATGTGCATATGTAGCCAAAACACTGTCCGGAGCTTATATGAATTCCATGCTCACACAGATTGAGAGACAGTTCAACATCCCAACATCTCTTGTTGGATTTATTAATGGGAGCTTTGAGATTGGTAATGAACTACTTTTGCATTATTTCTTTTCACATTTTTTTTAATCTACGGTGCTAGTTTGAATTTGATTCTTCTTATTTGATGTTTCAGGCCATCTAATCCAACTGAATTATTTTCCCCAAAACTGGATGACTAGTCTGGTTACCTGAAGAGTGCTGCCTCTCCCACCACTATTTTATTCTAATAGTTTCTGGGTTATCTAGCATGAGTTGCAGGGTATCCAGAGTATTTACGTGTAAATTCACAATTTGGTAACCCATCAAAAACTAAGTTAGAATACACTGTGGCGATGAAAGACATCTGTTTTCCAAAGGAACAAGTTAATGTTTTTCTTTTCCTGTTGTGCCTGAGATGTTAACAATTTTCCCTTCTAAGTGCAGAGGAAAAATGAAACTGCTTTAACGTGTGTAAGTTTGTTTCAAAAACAATTTCTAGGAAAGAATAAAGACTACTCTTAGGTTCTGATATTTATGACTGACTGGGAGCACACAAGATCAGAGAGGAAAAATGAGGGAGAGGATTTCTGCTGGGAATAAACATACACAGAAATAGAAATACCACCCTTTTCTAGTTCTGTGATAGCTTCTGCTTCCTTGCAGGTGAACACTGCCTTTAATATATTAGACCAATATTCAATAGAAAAATCAAGGTTAAGGAGAGACAAAACTAAAACAGACAAAACTTGATCTTGTCTACTAGTGTTCAACTCCCTCTCTCTTGCTTTACCACTTGTGTGCTAGATTCCAGCAACAGAGTCAGAACTAACTCTTTATGTAGTTCTTGTGTCAACTTAGCTTACAAGCTTATGGAGGGCACAGATGTGAAACAGTAATTTCAACTGAAGAAATAAGTGTGGTGACAAAGATATGTGCACAGTCCTATAGGAACAGAAGAGGGGACACAACTTCACTTTGAGAAGACAGACTCTTGGAGGATGCATGAAATTTTTCCAGGAGGAGGAACAGGGTTAGGCAAGTGTGAAGGGGAGCCAAATAGAAGAAACAGCATAAAGATGAGGCAACATAGTGGCTTTGGTGAGAGGTAATATTCAGCCGAATACTACTGGCTGGCTAAGGTTAAGGGGCAATTGTTAGGCTGTATGTCTGGAGAAAAAAGCAGGGATAGGAAATTGGGTGAGCTTGTGTTTGCCAAGGTGTTTACCTCTTATCCTCAGGGCAAGGAGGAGTCTCTAAGGATTGGAAGGGGTTATTAATTTTTCTGTATTAAGGACACCTTTAACAATCTGATGTTATATTATCTAATAATATCAATATACAATAATTAATAAGTAAATATTAATAATTAATAATATATATCAATAATTGTTTATAATAAAAACTATATGGGTACAAAGAAAGACAATTTATTAAAATAAAATTATCAAAACATTAGAAGAACTAATACTATAGAAACAGTTTTACTTTTTATTAAAACATCTAATAAGATCTAGCCCTCCTTTTCAAGTAAATTAGCATCAATAATATTTTTGGATATCTGTAACTTCCATAATGTAATATGCAAATATCTATAACTTGTATTGATGAGCATCTGTGACAAAATTGTAGGTACCACTGATACTACTGCAGAATGTTGCCTACTTTCAGCATCAACAGCAATACTAATATTTAATTAACAGTTAGTGAAAAAAATGATGCATTATTTTTCTCACCCAAGATCAGGGAAGCCCTGAATTCCATGAACCTGTGAACCGCTTGGAGGTTTGTAGACTGTAGGTTAAGAATGGGCCTTGCCTGTGGCTTGTTAGCACTGATCAGAAACTAGACACTCAGACTGGGCACAAGAAGGTCTTAGAAGGCCGGTACTACGCACAGGGAGAATTCTCTGGGCTTGAGCTAAGGCAGGCACAGAGAGAGGAGGGAAACTTAAAGATATTTAGTTGGGAAATTCCAGAGAAATTAGTGACGGAGGGAAAAGGACTTTCCCAGGTTTAAAATTTGCACAATGGAATGCATAGTGATGCTGAGACAGAGGAACAAAATTGTGGGTTAGCTTGAGCGGTGACTATAGGGATGGTGATGAGTTCTGTTTAGGCAAATTGCTTGCGGCAGTATCGTGAGACCTTTGAGTACTGACGTCCATCCAGGTAGTTGTTGTATGAGTTTGAAGCACTAGAGGACTTTCTGAGCTGTAGCTATTCATTAGTGAGTAAGTAGGTGCTTGTTAAAACCAGAGTAGATGAGGTTATTCAGGGAGAGAATATGGAGTGATGAGTACAATGGACCTTGAAGTGCATCAATATTTAAGATGCAAGAAAAGGATCCCATGAAAGTGTTCACAGAGGGAATAGTCAGGAAATCAAAGAACAACAAAGAGAGAATGCTGTTACAGGATCCAGGGCAGCGTAAATTTCCAAAAGAGAGAATGTGGCAATAGGGTCAAAAGTATTAGAAATTATCTGGTTAGTTAAGGATGCAGCTGCTCCCTGGGTTCATTATGTGTAAGTAATTGATGATCTTTGCCAGGAAACCTTTAACTGAACAACAGATTTAAAAACTAGAAAGTAGTGGAGATAGCAGTTACTGTAGGGGAGAGTAGAAGGGGAAAGTTGAATCTAGGAAAACAGGTGAATGTTCTTGGAGGGCCCAAGAATTATGTTTGGGCTTACAATGAGATGGCACCACAACCTCTGAAATGGAAAGAAAACAGCAGGCTAATGGGGGAAACTCAAATACTTTGGTGTTCGATTTCCAAAAGTCATTTTTAACAAAGTAGAAAGTATTAACTTTCTACCACTAATGTGTGGTGACAAGTGCCTTGAACAGAATGATTAAATTCTTGCTGAGGGCAAAAGGAGAAGAAATTTACAGATAACCACTTTGCTTATTTCCTCAGTCATTTTCATACTAAACATTCTCCATGGCTTCAACGTATGTATCTTTCCTCCACCCTCAAAATGGTGATTATTTTACTGATTGAAAAAAGGCCCTTGAAATAATGAATTCATCCTTAAATAAGGAGGGCAAGCTCTTACTTTCTCCTGTTTTCAAATAGATGTGAGTCTCAAATCGTGGCCTCTTGGAGTTCCTATTTACAACATGTATGACTTTGATGATAGAGATTTTAGAAACTTAGAAATTTTAGAGAGGCCAACATGGTTGATGTAGCAATAGAGCTGGAATACTCTCCATGTAAAATAGTGTACGAGCTGACATGTCTTCTGCATACCAGGTGGATTAGAGAGAAACAAGCTGAAAAATCCTCAAAATGTCCAAAATCACTTAAAAATTCAATTCCTTGAGGAAAAGAACTTTTGAAATTTTTATAATCCTCACTCATTATGGAGATTTTTCTTATACAAAGTGGAGCATGTTAAATATTGTTTATTGAATTAAAATACAGAGCTTGTAAACAGCCTACTCATATTTATTTCTTTTGACTGTTAATTCCATGCTGTTTAAGGGCTTATTCATTGGAATAGGATTTTCCCAATTAGTTTCTTTTCCTAAAGCTTTGTCCTAAGGCATAGGAATACATTTTTCATTGACTATCTTACTCATCAAATCTAGACCAGTCCAAATTGAAGAAGTGGGAGTCTACTACTTTTTACTAAACTGCATTATCTGTTATGAGCAAAGAAGTAGAAATTAAAATAGGTCTTTGTCTTGGTAATTTTGATCAATATCAAGTTATCGTGAATACTGTTATAAAACAGGGATCTGTCTGAATTTAACTTTTGCTTCTTTTTGAACCTCAGCAAACAGTGTTCTGTAGATCAGGCATAGTGAGGACAGAAGACACACTCAGAATGACACCTATTTTTGCATCTCCTTTCCTAAGAATAATCACTGGTAGAGCCTTTAAAATTTCCCAGAATCATCCTTCAGTTTCTTTTACTGGCTTCTCTTCCTCTGTCTTCATTAAATGTTGGTGCCCCATGGAGAGGTCTGTCTACATTGTGAAATGGTCAGGGGATAACCCTTCTTCATTTATTGTCGTACAACAATTGCTAGACTGTAAATGATCGGGGTGAAGTTGATAACTGAGATTTTCTTTATACTTACTGAAATGAGCACTGTCAATTTTTTCCCCCAGGAAATCTTTTGTTGATTATATTTGTGAGTTATTTCGGAACAAAACTGCATAGACCTATAGTGATTGGAGTCGGATGTGCCGTGATGGGCTTAGGGTGTTTCTTAGAAGCGTTACCTCACTTTCTCATGGACAGGTAAGTATTTCCAGTCTTTGACTTTTTCTTTTTTCTTAATTCAGCCTTCGCCTGCCCAGAAACGGGGCCTGGAATTCCCTTTCTGGGAGTAATGCTTACTAAAAGCACAGAGCACCGGAAGATGTGAATTCTGTTCCCCGAGTCTGTTTGGTGCCCTTGGCTGCCCCTGCTTGCACATATGTCATCACATTTGATCAATTTATGAAAGAGGGATTTGGGAGAGCTCTCTCCTGGAACTGAGTCTGATGAAAAGATTCTAAGGGTTTGCCAAAACATGGGATCACCCCTTCCTCAGGACTACTTAGACAGTTTTAATTACAATGAGGTTCTGTTTGATTGTAGGTCACCAAGAGACAGACCAGTCTTAAGATTGATTTCTACTTTAATTTTACCAAAATGATTTATGTACTAAGCTATATATATATATATATATATATCTCCAAAGGGTTATATAACAGAGATGTCCCCTGCTCTTTATGCCAGAGGCAACTGCTTGCAACTTTTTTCTCTTATTTGCCTCCACATTTCTTAGAACATGTTTATCACACTAGTTTTCACTCTTTAGTGTTATGTAAGTATATAGTCATGAATCACTTCACAACAGAGACAGCTTCTGAGAAATTCATCACTAAGCAATTTCATTAGTGTCTGAACATCGGAGAATGTCTTAAACAATGCTAGGTGGCATAGGCTACTACACACCTGTGCTATATGGTGTAGCCTATCGCTCCTAGGACACAAAATCTGTTCTGCATGGTGCTATAATGAATACTGTAGAGAGCTGTAAGATAATGGTAAGTATTTGTGTGTTTAAACATATTGAAACAGGGGCCAGCATTGTAGTGTAGTGGGTAAAGCCATCATCCTGGCATCTGCATCCCATATGGGTAACAATTCTGGCTCTGCTAATGGCCCAGAAAGCAGCATAAGGTGGTCCAAATATGTGGACCCCTGTAACCCACATGGGAAGTTGTGAATGAAGCTCCTTGCTCTTGGCTTTGACCTGGTTCCACCCTGGCTGATGAAGCCACTGGGGAGTGAACCAGCAGATAAAAGATTTCTCTCTCTCTGTCTCTCTATTTCTCCCCTGTAACTCCAATTTTCAAATAAATAAGTCCTTTTTTTTTTTTTCGACACAACTGGGACTAGAACCCGGAGTGCCGCCACTGCAGGCGGAGGATTAGCTAAGTGAGCTGCGACGCTGGCCATAAATAAATCTTAAAAAAATACTGAAACAGACTTGTTTACACCAGCATCACCACACACACACATATGAGTAATACAATGCTTGGAACAATAGGAATTTTTTCAGCTTTTTTAAGCTTTAGACTTTTATTTTTAATTAATTGACATAGTAAAATTGTGCATCTTTGTGGTATATGGTGTGCCGTTTCAATACATGGATGCAACATGTAATGATCAGTTGAGGGTAATTAGCATAGCTATTTCCGCAGAGGTACTCTTTACTTGTTTTGGGAACATTCAAAAAATAAACTAGCAGCTAATTTGAGGTATTTAATTAGTTGTGGTGAACCATAGCTATCCTGCTGTGCTACAGAACTTCAGAAGCTATTTTTCTTGTCAACCTGCACCCCAGTATCCATTAATCATGCCTTCTTCATCTTTCCCTCCTCGGGTTCTGCTAGCCACTATTCTATTCTCATTTGAGATCAACTTTTTAGTTTTCATGACTAAGTAAAAAAATTGGTATTTGTCTTTCTGGGCCTGACTTCATTTCACTTACAAATGGAACCATGACTGGATGTAAATCTGTCCTTGACTGAAATGTCAGAATATGGCACCAACTCTATTATATTCCTACTGTGATAACATATTCACTATTTGCACATGTATGACTATGTAAATATTTTTCACCACTGAAACATGCTGTTCTCTTTCCTCTGTTATATAACTTTATTTTCCCTGGATTTCATAACTACCTCATTTTTCCATGTGACCAGCTTTGTGTGTATCTTTTGCTAATGCATTGTCATATGGTAGCCTAAATGTTCTTTCCACATCCCCATACAGATAAGAGGGTTCCATTTTTGTCCTAGAGATTCCTGTCCTAATACTCTCAATTCTCTGTATTCTAAACGGGGAACTCTTCAGCTCTGTTTCACAGATGTTTTCCTGAAAATTTCTCCTATTATCTTTGGGAATTGGGAATTTGCTTGATCTTTTTCTTGCACTCTGTTAGATATTTCTAGACATCAAATCTTTTTGTTTCTTACTCTCCTTTTTGTAAAGGGAATCTAATAGCTTTCAAAGAAAGTGTGCAAGGGAAGTATAAAATTTAAGACTTTATCTGAATATCCTTTGTATTTTATACCTATATTTGATTGTTTTCTAGGAGTAAAGTATAGGTGAAAGTACTTTTCCTAGGGATTCTGAAGACATTCTTCCAGTGCTTTCTGTCTTCCAGTGTTATTACTGAGAATCTGATGCCATTCTAATCTCTGTGACATAATTTTCTTCTCTGGGAGCTACTGGGATTTTCTTTTAAGTTCCAGGGCCTGAAATTCATGATCACTCCTTTGGTATAGACCTTTGCCTCCATTGTGTCTTGAATTAACACGACTTGCAATTTTTCATTGATGATACCCTTCCCCCACCCCCTCAGCCTTCTGTGTTCTCTGCTTTCTTCCTGGATGTCTACTACTTGAACACTGAACATATTAAGCTTATGGTTTTCTCACCTTTTTTCTTGTATTTTCTAACTTCCTGCCTTATTACTTTCTGGGAAGCTTAACATTATCTTCCAATCCTTTAAATATATTTCTATTTTATGCATTCATATTTTTATTTTTCATGTACTTTTTGGTGTTTTCCATGTGTCTTTTCAGGAACATCTTGTTATACTTTCAAAAGTACAATGTCTCTACCCATCTAAATATTCCTCTCTGGTTTCTTATCTTTGGCTCTTCCAAGTTGTGGGGAGCAACCCGGACTAGACTAAGTTACTGGAATTAAGACTTATTCTATGCATCTGCTCTCCCACAATATGGCGCTGGGAGAGGAGGAAACAGCTTCTACGCAGCTGCCTCTTGCCAACTTGAGTGATGACCTCCAGGAGCTGATCCTGCTCCTGATTGAAGGAGAGCAGCGTACTCGGCGTGTGGGCAGCCGAGTTGGGATTGGCAGAAGAGGACTATAAAGGAGGAGAGAGACAACATGCACCAGGAACATCTAAGGGAAACACCTGAGGAACACCTGTGCAGCCCCTGAGAGAGCTGGCCGGCGGTGTGCCGCTCCCCCGCGGAAGTGGGGAAAGTGGCAGGGGGAACCGCCCTTCCACGGAGGTGGAAGGGTCGGTAGCCAACCCGGGAAGAACCAGCAGCAAACCCGGGGAGGGCCAAGCAGACAAAAGAACAGCGCAGGGTCCTGTGTCGTTCCTCCATGAAGAGGGGGAGCGACACCAAGTATACAGTTTTTGTCTATGTCTGTTTTTACTGTGATACAATTTCCTCATATACCTGGTGGCCCTTGGATATCTATGCATAGTTTAGAAAGAATAACAACAACAAGAAGTTCACTGGAAGTTCTCCATATGTGTTTAGAACTTGGTTAATGGAGGATTTCTTCACAGGGTGACTGCAGGGACTGTTACACAGGATTCTCCAATGTGGTGCTTGGGAAATAGAAACTTGGCCACAAGCCAGGTAGGGGCGGGAATCTGTCTTTTCTGCAAATCGATTTTTTTAATATCGCACATTTTTAGTATGTTCTCCCTATCCTCAATATGCCTGTTCATATTCTCTGGAGTCTGGATATTTTCCGGTGGTATGGTTGAGATCTCTGGGAGTCTAACTATTCTTTAAAACATACATACATTATTTATTTATTTAATTATTTAATTTACTTATTTGACAGGGGAGTCTCTCTCTCTCTCTCTCTCACACACACACACACACACACACACACACAGAGAAAAAGGGGAGGGGGGGTGAGAGAGAGAAAGGAGAGAGAGAGAGAGAGCTTCTGTGATTTTCTGGCTCACCCTCCAAATGGCTGCAACAGCTGGGGCTGATCCAAGCTGAAGCCAGGGGCCCATAAATCCATCTGGGTTCCCACGTGGGTGGCAGTGGCCCAAGCACTTGAACCATTTTCTATTGACTTCTCAAGCGGATGAACAGGGAGATGGATCCACGTAACCCACAGTGCCATGATGCTGGTCTCCCATATATATACTTTCAACCAAAGTGTTTAAGTTTTTCTGATTTTTGGTACCACGTCTACACCTTCATTCATACATATTCTGGAACTTCAGAGATATGTGCCATATATTTGGTTGATCTCTTGCAGGCACTGTGACAATTTTACTCATGTCTTCTGATTTAGTGACATTCACTTATCTGCATTTCCATATTGGACATCTTGTTGAAGTCTCTCTCATTGTCACATCACCCATTTTCTGTCTCCTTGTGGAATTTTACTCTTCTCCTTTTCATTTTAAAATCCATTTACTGTCATTTTGGGAATGAATGGACTTTGAATGAGTTATTGAGTTTTAAGTGGATAAATTAAAAAAATATTTTTATATTTAAAGATATTTTTGAAATGATCAGAAGTTTCTATACCAAGTTTTACTATTCTCTTAGTTACTATTTTGTTCATCACAATGTCAAGTGACGATCAGATATTACCTACATTTCTTTCCATCTTCTGTGAATGGTGTTATTTCTTTGAGGCTGTTGTGTCTCATGAGGTCATGAATATGAACAGAAGCTTTTGGCCACAGTTCGTAGCTGAGCTCTGTGGGCATGACTGGGTGATTGTTCTAAATGAAAAGTATTTTGGCCCTTCTTATTGTGTTCTATAGCACAGAGATGAGGACTACTGGTGGCATCTAAAGCATAACACTTGTTATTGCACATGGAACTCAGGAGAGGCTTCCCTGTGCCAAATAAAACCATGGAAAGCAATCCAGCATAATTTATAACAAAGAAAGATGCAACAGGATATACTTTGCTCCATTCTTGCAGCATGTGTCGTTTACTTTCTGAGAAAGGACATGTGGATCTTGTGGTAATTTGCCCAAGTTAAATAGCCACAGTCCATTAACACTTTTGTTGCTATGAAAAGAGACAGAGTCATTATATTACACTGTTCTGTTGAGGAGTTTCCCAAAGCCTTCATTACAATGGACAAATATTTTGTTTAACTTGGCAGTTCTTGAACACATGGAAGAATTATTGTTTGGATTCTCAGAAACTAGGAGTTAGACCTCTCGCAAGCCAACTTCAGAAAATCCAGAGTAGGGGTCTTGTTTTGTTGTGTTGTTCTTTTCTCCTCAAAGCCTTATCTCCTTAATTATACTTTATCGAGTTTCTTATTTTCCTTTTCTGTTATGGGCTTCTCAGCTATTTCTCCTTATACCCGGTAATTATTTCTAGGAACCATCCACCTAAGTATCACAGAAGGTTGATTTTAGATGACCTAAAAAGTAGATTACCTACGTGTAGAAAACTGGAAGCTACCTGTCAAGGGATTGCACACAGAGAGTAAGCAGTAAGCTCTGTCTGATGTTATGAATGGATGAGGATTAGAATGGCGATGATGAAAAGACATCTTTTTTGCCTTTGGATCTGATGGCTGAAGTGAGACACAGGTTTTAACAATCTGTACAATAGCTCCATCGTCCTCCTGAGCTCCTTAACTTAAATATGTTTCCCCATTGTTCATACAGATATGAATATGAGTCTACAGTCTCAGTTTCAGGCAACTTGTCCTCAAACAGTTTCCTGTGTGTGGAAAATGGAACCCAGATGGTAGGACCAACGCATGATCCATCAGGTTGTCTACTTCATTTTATTTCTTCCTATTCAGTGAACTTGTAACTGCACACTTTCTGCTGAGGGGCTCTGAATGAGATATTGGGTTTGATCAAGTAACAAGTTTTGGTCAGTGAACAAAAGCTATTTTCTCTCCTCTGGGATGTCAGAGAGTTTTATTCCCCTTATGTTTCAATCTATTTATTAAGATCTCATCTATTTTGTAAAGTGGCTAATTTAAAAATCAGTCAGCCATCCTTCCAAGGACTACTATACAGTTAATCTCCCTAGAAATAATGTTTTAGAAGAATGGGTTTATGCTTGTGATTTCGTCTATGTGATTATATAAGCAGGAAATAGAGAAAAGTTCTAAAGATTTGTTCTATATCTCTGAACACCTATAAGAGGAAAAGAAGCAAGTATGCTATAATTCTGAAATGCTCTATTCCATTTCTAGCATATAGCCAGTTGGTAAGAGGTGAGAGCACACTGTCCTTTAGTTCCTGAACATACAGCCTCAAAGAGCTTCCTCAGGGCTTCACAGCTATTTTGGATTAGAACAAAATAGGCAAAGAGGTAGTTATTAGTATTCAGATATTTCCTATGCTTTTTTCTCTTTTAGTTCTCTTTGGCGTAGTGTCTTTATTCTCCTATATAGCTGCTGCTCTAAGGATCGGGGTGGATTTCTTCATTAATATTTATTTGGTGGTTCTTAGTATATTTGTATAACAGGCTCTATAGAATTACCACAGTATTAACAATCAGAGCTGGAAAGAAGTCAATCTTCAGTGAGACTTACTTAAATTTTAAAAGTCTATTATCAATTTTAGGGAGAAATATTTGTGTGTGTGTGTGTGTGTGTGTGTTCTCTCCCCAAAGTTACATGATGATGGAGTAGAACTCATAGTAGCTAATCAGGTAAACTGGTAAACCAAATCTCTGGGAAGAGGGGGATTTTTAATGGTTGTCAATTTTTGTAGTGTAAAAATTCCTATTATATTACCAATGTTCTGTCACTAAACACTAAATTGAGAATAGGTGTGCATGCTCATCATGCCCAACTCAATAGGAACTGGCTCCAGCACTCAATTATCCTTGTCCATATTGAACTATGTCAGAGGGTGCAGCAGGGATGGCCCAATGATTCACTGCTGGCATAGTAAAATTTAATCATTGACAGGTGGGTGCCCTGGTCACATAAGAACCATGAGAACTGTTGAAATGTTTGCAGAAAACTTAGAATTACCTTGAAATAATAATTCGCTATCAAAATACTAATGCAATGTCTTATTTTGTTTTAATGCAGAGTGTGTGAAGGAAGTACGCTCTTTCATGTGGGTATATGTGCTAGTAGGAAATATTATACGTGGAGTGGGTGAAACTCCCATTATGCCATTGGGTATTTCCTATATAGAAGATTTTGCCAAATCTGAAAACTCTCCTTTATACATTGGTAAGTTTGAAAATCTGCCCTAGTATACCAAGTATACCAGTATACCAAGTTCCATTAGGGTAGAAATTAGTTATTTGTTTGAACTTTTAGTGAATTCCAGAATGATGTACAGTATGCCTTGGCATAACAGTTTGGTGAGTGGAGCAATTATATGCTAACTCCAAAGAGATGACTTTGTTACATCTGCCTTTTGCTATTAGAGATACAGCTATTCTTATGTCCCCAAGAGTTCTGTTTGATTTCTCCATTTCCTTGACAGCACTATATCCAATCTGGTAAAATATTTACCACGGTTTTCTTTAAAATAAACCTTATATTCAAAATCTTTCTTACTATTTTAATTATTACTATTTTTTTTGCTCAGGTTTTCATTAATTCACCTCTATGTGAAATATTCAATAATTCTTTCTTGGTCATTTTATCGTTGGTATTTTTATCAGTTTCTTAATTCTTATAGTGTAACTTTTCTCAAATGTTGTTTTAATCATGATTACCGTGTTCATGACATATACTGTTTCCTTCTTATATATTATCTCTTTTTTAGAAAAGTTTTTTTTGTGTGTTTTAATCTATTTGATGACAGTGTGACACACACACACACACACAAAGACTGAGAGAAGGAGAGAGGGAGAGGGAAAGGTAGAGGCAGATGAGAGGGATTGAGGGGAGAGAGGGAAGGGGGAAGAGAGAGAGAGAGAATGAATGGGAATGATCTTCTGTCTATTGCTTACTCTCCAAATGGCCAGACCAGGGCTGGGTCAGCCCAAAGCAAGGAGCCTCAAACTCCATATGGATCTCCTATTTGAGTCACAGGAGCCCAACCACTTGAGCCATCATCTGCTGCCTACCGAGATGCACGAGCAAGAAGTTAAAGCAGAGTAGCCAGGCCTTGAACTGGCATTCTGCTAGGGGATGCAGGCATTGCAAGTGTTGGCTTAACCTGCTACACTACAGCGTCTACTTCTAAATCTGATCTCTTTACTCATGGCTCATGGCTCTTCACCTAACTGATCTATTTAGTCTCCTATATGATTTCCTGTTACCACAATCTCTCTATATGAGTCCCTGTGACAGTGAAGGTTCTCCATTCTGGTCACAATTACTTTTCTTCATACTTTGGTTATGTTTCTTAAACTTTTTAAAAATCCATGCATATCACCTGCACAACAGCCAGCTTGAGATTCACATTTTCTGTTGTCTTCTGTTGTTTTCTATATTCCTAATTTATCATAAGTAGCCTTTTATGTTCTTGAGATATTCCATCAGTAGTTGACATAAATTCATAACTTTGAGTTGAGGGCCATTTTGCTATGAATATAGACATAACTTTTAAAAGCTAGACAAATCAAAGAGAGAGAAAATAGCAGATTAATACATAATCAAGGTGGATTAAAACACAGTATTTATGAACTATTACCCCAAATAACTTTTGGCACATTTTGGTAACACACTGACTTTTTAAAAATAATCCTTTTCAGTGTTTTTTTGTTTGGTATCTTCAAATCCTTTCCTACATTTATATTGAAAAGTTGCAAGTACTTTCCTACAATAAATCAACAAATATCTTTTGATGGTATGTATTTCTTTACTCACAAATGCTGGGAGATATACATAATATATAAAAGTACTATGATAACTATATATTAAGATGAATAAGTTATTATCTTCTACAAAGTTTTAGATAACTAATTACAGGATTATAAATAATATATATACATAGTATGCATTGTGTGTATGTATACATTTACAAATAACTATAAATATAGCATACAAATAGCTGTAAATCAAATAGCTACACATAAAAAAACAATTGTTTAGGAGAGAATAGAAAAGTTGGTTTGAAAATCATTCATACAAAGACAATAAGTGAGAACAAGAAGGAGAAACACATTGCCATAGGAGGACATTCTTCTGCGTAACAGGTAGCATAGCAGAAAGAACTATCATGGAAGGAATAGTAATAGAAGAAAGTGAACCAATAAATGAATAGGTCTGTGAAAGTCTTGGGGTGTATGTTGAAAAAGGAGTTAGACACAGAACCTGAAGTTTTAGAAGATCAGATTAAGAGGACACTGGCGTTGTGACAAAGAGATCGCTGGTGCCACATGGTAGTATAAGTATTATGAGGAGCATGTGAACGGGTTGTAGCGAAGTGAATGAGAGATGAGGAAGTCCATGGAGAGCATAAGAAAGGAAAGAAAAGCAGAGTAGATTTGAGATATTGCAGCAATCACTGGGTGGGAGGAGATGAAACAGGCACCAGGGAGGGAGTGCTGAGCAGAGCACTGCCTCAGAGGAGCAGGAAGAGGCTGGCAACAAGAAGTCCTGTGTATTTAGCTTTGGCTAACCCACAGAGCTGAGGAGGAGGAGAAAACAAAGTTTAAAGTGAAGGAGAGGAAAACTGAAGAGGCTTATTTTCAGTGAGCCACGAGGGCTCAAACAGACTGAACTGTAGACAAGTCATGAGATAGTTGGAACGAAGTTCCAGGGAATACGAAGTCAAGTGATGGAAACGAGAAATAGGAATGCGGAGTTTAGGAAAGGAGTTCTGGGGTGGGAGGTTAGCTCAGTGGTTAATATACCCGTGTCTCCCATGGGAGCACCTGGGTTCAATTCCTAGCTCTGGTTTCCGATTCCAGCTTCCTGCTAATGAGCACCCTGAAGGCAGTGCTGATGGTTCAAATATTTGGCTTTCTGGCACTGATGTGGGAGATTTGGATGTATCATAATAAAGAGGACAGAGTCAGACAGAAGGTTCAAGTTAGAGATATGAGAGTGGAGCTTCTCTGGGGATTGGGTAGCAGGAAATTCCTCATCACATGCACTAGAATTCCTCAAGAAACATGACCATGGAAAGCACCAAAAGCACCTTGCTCAATACCATGATTTTGCTAAAACCACAACCCTAGCTGAGAATGCCTATGCCGTTACAGCAAATCTTTACCCATAATCCAGCATGAGAAGGAATCTGGAGGCTTAGAAACCATAGTTTTACATTGTTAGGATTGTTTTTATTCAATATTTACAGAAACAAACACTAGTTACATAAAACAAGCTTAATTTTCTTAGAAATTGAACGCCTAATTCAAAAGTAACCCAATCCTCAGACTTTCCATGGAACTAGAACTCTTCATGTGGGCATATATCTATGCTGCAAATTTTTAATTTTTGTTTACTTTTAGGAATTATAGAAACAGGAGCTGTTATAGGTCCTTTGATTGGACTTTTGTTAGCGTCATTCTGTGCAAACGTTTATGTGGACACTGGCTCTGTCAACACAGGTAATTCAATAAATGTCAGATGATGTCTAGAGTGTGTCAGGCATTCCAGGTATGCAATCACATTAATCACTGCCTTATTTGACCATCAGTTGGGCAAGTTGTCTCCACTTGAAAAGCACACAAACTGAAATAGAGGTGTTTAAATAACTTCCCAAGTACTTCAAGCTACTAAGCAGTAGAGCAAGATAGAATCCTGACCTTCTGACTCTAAACCCAGGGCTCTTTCTACTGCAATCATATTTCTTGGTTCTAAACATTTAAGTACACAGGTTTTGGTTTCTTTTAACCACGCATTCATTAGGAAACAATGAAATAGACTTCGAGTTATTTTAAAAATATCTATTTTTGAATTCCTTAAAGGATAGGATAATCAGACTAATTTATTGTTGGAGAATATTTTAACACTATATACTATCATAAAAGCTTTATGAATGAATTATATAAAAATTCATACGTGGATAAAACCTAAGGATTATAATTTTAGTAAGTTTTTTACTTCATATAGGAAATAATGATACAAGCTAATAAAAATGTATGCATTTCTTTGCAGATGATCTGACCATAACTCCCACTGATACTCGCTGGGTTGGTGCTTGGTGGTTTGGCTTTTTGATTTGTGCAGGAGTGAATGTGCTCACTGCCATCCCTTTTTTCTTTTTGCCCAAAACACTTCCAAAGGAAGGACTAGAGGATAATCCTGACATCATTAAAAGTAGCAAAGAAGAGAAGCAAACAGAAGATGTCAAGAAGCAACAGCGTGGAATCACTAAAGGCAAATATGACTATTTTGAATACCATATAACTTTCTTTATGTTTTATCTAACTCTGTCTGTATTTGAGTCTAACATTATAAAAGTTATGCTGTGTTAAGATAATTTGTCGGGGCCAGTGCAGTGGCATACGGGGGAAAGCCGCTGTCTCAGTAGCAGCATTCCACATGGTGCCGGTTTGAGTCCTGGCTGCACCACTTCTTTCTTTTTTTTTTTTAATTTTTTTTTTAATTTGACAGACAGAGTTATACAGTGAGAGAGAGGCAGACAGAGAGAAAGGTCTTCCTTCCATTGGTTCACTCTCCTAATGGCTGCTACGGCCGGTGCTGCGCCGATCCGAAGCCAGGAGCCAGGTGCTTCTTCCTGGTCTCCATGCGGGTGCAGGGGCCAAGCACTGGGCCATCCTCCACTGCCTTCCCGGGCCACAGCAGAGAGCTGGACTGGAAGAGGAGCAACTGGGACTAGAATCCAGTGCCCATATAGGGTGCTGGCACTGCAGGTGGAGGATTAACCAAGTGAGCCACGGTGCCAGCCCATATTTTTTTTTTCTCCACTTCTGATCCAGCTCTCTGCTGTGGCCTGGGAAAGTAGTAGAATGTGGCCCAAGCCCTTGGGCTCCAGCACCTGTGTGGGAGACCCAGAGGAAGCTCCTGGCTCCTGGCTTCCGATCTGCAGAGCTCTGGTTGTTGCGGCCATCTAGGGAGTGAACCAGTGGATGGAAGACCTCCCTGCCTCCCTCTCTCCCTCTCTCCCTCTCTCCCTCTCTCTCTCCCCCATCCCCCCCCAAGCTCTGCCTTTGAAGTAAATAAATCAATCTTTAAAAAAAAAATAAGTTGTCATCAACACTCAGTAGTGAATCATGTCCAACTAGTTTGATTCTCCCTGTGCTCTTAACTAGAAATAAATGATACAGTTTGGAGACTGGGTGACCTCAGATCAGCATTCATATAAAATTTTATGTCAGTCTGGACACTTAAATACTGAATGATTTGGTCATGTCTGTTTTCAAAACATTTATTTTACAAAAAATAGATTTTTTAGCTGGTTCTAATGAGCTTCTTGCCACATATCTATAAAAATATTAAAATACTTAAGTGTAATTTAAAAAATAAATGACTAAACCAAAGTTTATTAGGCAAGAAAAATGCATACCAATCCAGACAGGTAGTAAACACCAATATGTTTACTTACCTGTGTGCTTTCTGGAAGTTAAAGCAGGAAAAGAAAACATAATAAACGATACAACTCCAGAGAGAGAGAGAGAGAAATAGTGTGTTTCCATCCACTGGTTCAATCCTCAAATACTCAAAACAGCCAACAAGGGCTGGATCAGCATGGAGCCAGGAGCCAGGAATTCAATCCAGGTCTACCGCAGAGGCAGCAGAGACCTAGATACTGGAGCCATCACTGCCACCTCCTGGGGCGCATATTAGCAGGCAGCTGAAATTACAAACGGAGCTGAGACTCGAACCCAGGCTCAGATCTGGGATGCGGGCTCAGATCTGGGATGCGGGCATATTAATAGCTAAACCAAATGACCTCCCTGCCTATCCCCAGAATTTTTAGAGTATTTATTTAGAGGATAGGGAGGAAATCAGTTTCCTTATCTGTAAATGGGGATAAAAATTTGATTACTATATTAAGTTGATATGGGAAGGTGTAAGGAATTTGGGCACACCTTACTTTTATTGCTACTAGTATTAGTGGTTTTTTCCTATACTGCTATTTCTATTGCCACTCACAAATTATAATACTTATTTTCATATAATTTTTATTCACAATTATGAATTCACTAAAATCATAACTGAATGTAATATAGTGCTTATCAGATCATTTAACAGCTCATAAAGAATCTTGCTAATTCTTAGCCGCATCATGATTACCTGAACCACTCTTCTCACAGGGCTGATACGGATGCACAGATGATGTGGACACAGAGTACTACATGCTGTCTGCAAGATCAGTTTTCAAAACTAGGAAAGAGTTTAGCTGATTCTAAGATATATAGAAAAATAAATGTGAACTACTGACACTCATCTGTGGGGACAGGGATGTGGGTTTAAAAGTTCCAGAGGGAGACATTTGGTGCAACAACAAAGACACTGCTTAGGATACTCGTATCTCATATGAGAGTGTCTGGGTTCGACTTCCGGCTCCACTTCTGATTCCAGCTTCCAGCTGTTGCATACCCTGGGAGGCAGCAGTGATGGCTCTAATAGTTAGGTCCCTGCCACAAATGTAGGAGTGTCAGATTGAGTTAGAAACCCCTGGCTTTGGTTTGTTCCTGACTGTTACCTGAATCTGAGGAGTAAACCAGCGGATGGCAGATCTTCCGGTGTCCCTTCTATCTCAGTCTCTCTGCTTTTCAAAAAGATAAAAATCCCAAAGAACTCTAACCACAACTCTGTCCCCTGCATGGACTTGATTCATGAAAAGGACTTCTACAGTGAGAATTCATTTGGTTGCATTAAGCTACACTTTCTTCTCTTCTAGATTATTAATTTGTTGCTACTCTGATTGAGAATGCATTTTAGGCACTTTATTAAGCCACCCAGCATAGTACAACAGAAGGAAATCAAGGTGGAGAACATGACAAACAGAAAAGTGAAAAGAAAGCACAAGAGAGAATTTGAGCTCAGATGGCTACCATGGGACTCAGCACACATGGGAAAGTACAAAAGTTTGGCTCTGAGCTTTTCAAACAGGGAAAAGTTTTGATTCAATGACTGACAGGATCCTTTGCATGTCCCAAATGAATGGGCATCTCTGGAGTGGGACCAGGGATTGGTGTTTTATAAAATATCTGCAGCTGGTTCTAATGAGCTTCTTGTTAGATCTTTAGCAGAATCTCCAAAACTATTGTTCTCAAGAAGAAGAAAAATTCCTGGCCTTTGAGAAAATTTATATATATAATCATTGAGCAGTGGTCATATCAATATCTGAACACAAACCTTGCTCATCCATTTCCGTCCAGATTTAGAACACAGAATCAGCATCTTTCCTGTCAGAATCTCTAGTGAAGAGGGAGAAATTACCAGAAGGAAAAACAAAGGGGCAAAATGAAATCATGTGGACACAAACTCCATTTTGGTCTCTTTATAGTTTTGCTTTGGAACACACAAAATGCAAATCCAAGCCAAGTTAGTCTCACACTCCTTATTCTTTCCTTTCAGATTTTTTACCCTTCATGAAAAGTCTCTCCTGCAATCCAGTTTACATGCTTTTCATAGTTTTAAGTGTGATGGAGTTCAATGCATTTGTTAATATGTTCTCCTTCATGCCGAAATACATGGAGCAACAATATGGAAAATCAACTTCAGAAGCCATCTTTTTAATTGGTATGTCTGCTTTTCATTGCACCAGGAGCACAGTCCTACCCTCTGCCTCTTGAACTGGTGACAGTGTGACAATGATTTAGAAAATTTCTAATTTCTAGTGTATTTCTGCCTCTGGTGTATTTTTTGCCTACACTCTTCAGGGAAATCAAGTGTAGGGAAAAGCAGCCAGAAATATCCTGACTTTTTGTCTTCTGCTTTCTCTCCAGTCACAATGCAAATTCATTATGTTGGAAATCTTGGGGAATGCAAAAATCAGGCACAATTTTCAGATAGGCAACCCATTAATTAAAAAGGAATACAGAGGTAACTCTTCACGGTTCTGTATTCCTTTCTCAGATTTTACTTTTTGGGCTCCAGTTCATGGGTTCCGAGTTTCTCAGTTCCCGGTCCCCCTGGTGGTTTCTGTGGTTTCTGCAGCCACATACATCCTGCTTTTCCTATGACCACACTAACCACAACTGTTCTATACTACCGTGCTCCTGCGTTTGGTTTGGTTTGTTTCTGCAATCCTTTCACCAGTTGGAAAAGCCAATATACCAAGCTAACTGTACCCAGTTATGCAGATTGCTTGAGGGAGATTCCGGTACCCGGGAACCCCATTAGACAGATTAAATCAGAATCTACCAGATGGGACTCCGGAATGGATTTTTAAGCAGCTATCCCAAGACCTTGACTTAGTGAATCAGTTGCTGGCTTTATTCAAATGCAACCTAGATCTGCCTTTTTTCTTTTTCTTTTTTTCTTGGTAGAGTTTGAGAAAACAAGACTCTGGTCAGGAGTAGCAAGATTAAAAATGTGAATGCCATTGACAGCAAAAAGCTCAGCAGAGGGACCGCCTGAAGGTTTTGAGCTGAATCAAATTCTTGACACCTAGAGTGAGAATAAAGAACACACACACACACACACACACACACCTCTATCCTACAGAAGAAGCAACAAATTACTGGTGAACTTTGTCTTGACATTCCTACCTGGGTCCTATGGAAAGAGATCTTCATCCTGATCCCTGCCTACTGGAATGTATAACCTACTGCGATTAATTACATGAATGATAATAGTGACAGCCTTCAAAAGTATACTTCAGCAATATGAGGCATTTCAGAATCTCCCTGTATGCAATGTGTAACTGAGATTAACATTAAAACAACCTCCTTTACTGTGTGTAGGACCTAAATAGTTGCTTATGTAAGATGTAAGATATGTATGGCTTAGGTAAGACATATTAGATAAAATATGTTAACATATCTATTCTTTTGCTAAGCCACTTTGTGAATCATATTTTAATTGCATTTTATAGGTATTTATAACTTACCTCCAATATGTTTTGGATATATAGCTGGTGGTTTACTTATGAAGAAATTCAAGATTACTGTCAAACAAGCTGCCCATATAGGATTCTGGTTAACTTTATCTGAGTATTTATTATACTTTTTATGTTTTCTCATGACCTGTGATAATTCTTCAGTTGCTGGCTTAACTACCTCTTATGAAGGGTATGTTTTTTTCTAATAAATGTCATATAGTTTCAACAAGCAGTTAATAGTATATTTTATCTATTGGTTATACATGCTCAGATTATTTGCTTATTGGAGTTATGGCACTGATCTATGGTCTTTCTGTATTTTTCCTCCATTTCTCATTTGTAACTCAATTTACCCATGTTCAAAGCTTATTAAAGAGGTTGAGAACATATCAGAGGGTGAGTTCATGATTTTATGTATGTGTGTATGTGTGTGTGTGTGTGTTTGCATGTGTGTATGTAATTGTCTTTGTGATATTCTAGTGGACCTTAAAGATTCTATAAAGTAAAAAGCTATAGTTTTTGGCCACTAGGATATGTTATCCACATGTTTAATACTGCCATAAATAGATCATATTAAGAGTTTACTATGGGGCGGGCACCGCGGCTCAATAGGCTAATCCTCCACCTAGCGGCGCCGGCACACCAGGTTCTAGTCCTGGTCAGGGCTCCGGATTCTGTCCCGGTTGCCCCTCTTCCAGGCCAGCTCTCTGCTGTGGCCAGGGAGTGCAGAGGAGGATGGCCCAAGTCCTTGGGCCCTGCACCCCCTGGGAGACCAGGATAAGTACCTGGCTCCTGCCATCGGATCAGCGCGGTGTGCCAGCCGCAGCGCACCAGCCGTGGTGGCCATTGGAGGGTGAACCACTGGCAAAAGGAAGACCTTTCTCTCTGCTTCTCTCTCTCTCACTATCCACTCTCCCTGTCAAAAAAAAAAAAAAAAAAAAGAGTTTACTATGAGATCTCAATAGTCTTTGTTTTACCATAACTGACTCTTAGTACATGATAAACATGTAAATTCATACACAGTATTTCATTTGTATAGATGTGTCCAAAATATGGAACAGTTTTAAATTTTGTATTTTTGAGCATCATTTGGGTTTACAGAAAGATTTTTCATAGTGATTTAAAAAGTTTTAAAAATGCGTTATAGAGCATATTTAGATGATCAAATTGTTAGTTAAAATGAAATAAAGGACATTCTAAGATATAACTTTGAGATCATTGGGACTTACAAGACTGTAATAATTTCTGATTTGAGCCTTACAAATTCCATTTAAGACAGACGTAATTATTTCTATTTGACAGATGAAGAAATTGAGGTTCAGAGACAAAGGGAGTTCATGCTGAACTTCTTCAACCATATCAATATGGAAACATGAATTTTAAAGTTGGAGAGAAGCTTATAGATTGTCTCCCTGTCCATTCATGCTGTTTCCCAAAGAGAATGTGTGGAGAGCCACAGTGAACTAGTCACATGGTTAGGACTTGAATTCAGTCGCTAGCTTCCCTCCCGTGCTTTTTGAATAGTATCATGAGAGCTGGGTTACTTTTATTGCTGGAAGACCACGTGTGTTTACTCAGAGTTTTGTTTCTAGCTACATGTGCTGTCTATTTTATAAAAGGAACTTGGAGATTCTTGGAGATTTGGATGCTGAAATTAGCTCTCTTGTTATTTTCCACAGATGGATCAATCATGGCAATTAGTTTCCACCCTTAATCTTGTAGTTCTTCGAAATACATCATTGCCAGAGCGGCTATTTGGTCACCAAAGCAGCTCTTAAACCAGAGCTGTAGACAAGAAACCATGCACTGCTAGTTGGAAGATTTCTGTTTTTATTTTGGGGGTGGCAAGGAAATGTAATTTGGGACTGAGATTAAAAAAAGCTTGAATATTTTTCAATATTCACGGTGCTATTTTAAATCATTTCAGAATTCCAAAAGATTTATATGTGGGAAATAACATCTTTGCTGACTGTAATAAGGATTGCAACTGCCCAGCTACAATTTGGGACCCTGTGTGTGGAGACAATGGCTTGTCATACATGTCAGCCTGCCTTGCTGGCTGTGAGTCATCCATCGGAACAGGAATCAACATGGTAACATATCCTACTGCTTGTATTCTCTGTCACTCCCCTATCCCAGGTTGACTGAGATACAACAAAGTCCTGAGTATTTCATATGTGCCATGTGATGATTTGATGTATGTGTACATTATGAAGTGATTACCACAAATTAATTTTGTTGGTGCCCTGCCTTGGCACTTTCCAAACAAGAACTGGATTTGATAAAAGTAAAATTAGTCTTTCCTCAAAACCAGATGAGCTGTTTTGTGGGCAACATGTTAAGATTTATATGCTCAATTCATGATTTTTATTTCCTAGGTCATATGTAAAACCTTCATGATGTTTGAGCATTGACCAGTATTTAAAACCAGTTTAGATTATTATGCAAATAGCCTCAGTTAAAAATACCCTGGAGTCAAATCTTTTTATCATTGAGATAAAATTAGTGGTTTTAATCTCAATTATCCAGCAAATTACTTTGCTATTTATTTTATTTCTCCTGTGCACATTCTGTACTTTTCATATTTTTCAAATTCTGATACTACTGTAAAATGATAGAATTGGGCCTATTTTCTTATTTTTAAAATATCATACTATTTATAATATTGGCTGGTGATCAAAGTAAAATTTAAACTCTGATTTGTAGGAGGACCTGGAAACATACAACAATTCAAAAAGGGTTGCTTCATTTTCAACATGAACTATATTTCTGGAACAGTTTATTTGTAGGCATATATTTCAACTGAGCACACTGCAACAGGTTTTGTCGTACTTTTGTTGTCACAAAACAGTATGTGTTTAAAAGCAGTGTACTTTTTGATAGTGGAGCTTTCACAAATTTGCTCCATATTCTTAGAAAAAAATACAGTTTTGGGGAAACACATTTTTATGTTTTGTTTTATCCTATAATCCTGACAGACAAAATAAAGACTGGGCATAGAAACAAGCATTTGGCTCAGTAGTTAAGCTACTGAGGGGGATGCCCACACTGTAAGAACTAGATTCGAGTCCTGGCACCCCTAGCATGTGCAGCTTCCTTTCGATGTGTACTATGCGAGGCAGCAGACGCTGGTTCAAATACATGTGTACGTTTCACCCATGTGGGAGACCTGGGTTGAGTTGCAGGTCCCTGGCTTCAGCCAGGCCCAGCCCTGGTTGGTGTGGATATTTGGGGAGTGAACCAGCAGGTGGAAGACTGCTCCCTGTCTTTCTGCCTCTCTCTGTCCCTATGTTTTTCAAACTAAATTTTAAAAGTTTAAAAAACAGAAGAAAAGGAATCAGCAGTTTCCATCTTGATCAACTGGCTATCTACAATATTGTTGAGATTTGGGTTCAAGAGTTTCCACCCTTGAATAAGATGATGTATTATTTTTTGGCAGGTATTTGAAAATTGTAGCTGCATTCAACCACCAGGAAATTTCTCTGCAGTCCTTGGTCTGTGTAAGAAAGGACATGAGTGCTCCATGATGCTCCAGTACTTTTTAATCGTGTCAGCCATTAGCAGTTTCATTTATTCCTTAGCTGCCATACCTGGGTATATGGTCCTCCTGAGGTACAAGATTTATTTTCTTTATTTAGATTTCTTTCTGGTCACTTATTGAGGAAACTTTGCTAGGAAAGCTACTTGGAGCTCAGAGTATCTAAGAACTAACTCAGTGTCCTGATGCATGAGAGGACTTCACCAAGGTCATGAAAAAATGGGATTCAAAGACAATATGAATTTCCCATTTTTCATGAACATTTAGAAGAACCTTCAAACCCTTCATTAAGGCTTTTGCACTGAGCACCACTGAAATTTACAAAATTTTAGCCGGCAACATAAATGCTCATGTGTGGGCATTTTCCTCCCTATCTCCTTTATTAGCGTTAACTGAGTGGATCTCTCCTATGTAACACAAGAGACAGACTTACAGTTAGTGCAAGCCATGCACAGCAGTCACATGTAAGTTATGCATGCCAATGCAATTTGCTTGCATGGCACAATTATCTTTCCCTGTTGTCACCTTTCTTTTAACTTTTTCCATAGTATCAGCACCTGCGAGGTCCATAGAGTAGTACTTATCATGTCTGCTTTACACGGTATCATCTATAAATGAAATCCTAAATTTTTTTTTGTACTGAAATCCAACAATTTTCTTAAGGCTTGTGTGTTTAGGGGTGTGTATGTGTGCATGTGTGTGTAAAGTCATATCTAGAAAATGTGGTTTTTAAAATAAAAACATTCTTGATTTCTAAAAATAATGTCTTACATTTTATCCTACAAGACATAAATACCTTTTATCTTGAGCTCCCTTCTACTAGTTTATTCCTCAAATGCCTACTACAGATGGAGTCAGTCCCAGGCTAGGAGCTAGGAGATGGTAATATAATTCACATCTCCCATGTGGGTGACAGGAACCCAGTTATTTGAGCCGTCCCTTCTGCATCCCAGAGCCTACTCAAGATTCAGAACCAAGAAATGAATTCAGGCACTCTGATGTGAGACTCGGGCATGTTAACCATTAGACAAACAATCAATCCTCAAGTCTGTGTTTATATGTGGTACAAAAGATAGATACCCAGTGTTCTTTTTCTCCATATAATGATGTTTTTCTAATACCATAGCCTATATAATAGAACTTTTCCTCATTGCTTTGTGATATCATCTTCATCACATCCAGGTTTTTGTTTCAGAGTTACTCTGTTCCACAGATCTGTTTGTTTTCTCTCACACAGTGTTACACTGATTCTTGTACTTGGGCCTTGCAGATGTTAGCATCTATTTCAAGTGTAGTAACTCCACACTCACCCACCCCATTATCTTTACTCTTTCTTGATTCTTTTCTTTCCAAATTGGTTTATGTCTCCATGGATCTTTTATTGACATATGAATTTTGATTGATTTTGCGTGGATTCCATAGAATGATTGGAGAAAATCTGACACCAAATATTTTGTTAAATTTTCCTGTGTATCCTTGACTAATGTTTTGAAGTTTTTCCATAAAGCTGATATATCTTTGGTTGCTTCCTAGGTTTTTTATATATATATATATATGTGTGTGTGTGTGTGAGTGTGTGTATGTATACATATATACATATATAAATACATACAAACATATGTAAGTATATATACAAAATATATCCACATATATAAGTATATATACATATATAAATATATATACACACATATAGTAGACATATATATAAATACATATATACACACATATATAAGTATACATGTATTTATCTGGGCTGTCTTCAAAAAGTTCATGGAAAATGCATACCTTAAAAAACTATGTATGATTTAACTTTTTTAAGTATATGAAAGAAATGGTTTATTGATGTCAATTATCTCCTCCTCATTTATAAGAAGATCACACTACTATAAAAATTATCTATGGATTTGAGGTGGAGGATTTCAAAATTTTTTGTACCAAAATAATCTCAAGCTTTTAATTCCTTTTTTTGTCGATTTTTTAAAGTTTCCTCTTTTATACTCTGAGAAAAACACTGTTTTTCTACTCTGATAGCAGATGTGTGGGGTTTTTTTCAACATCAACTAATTCATTACCAGTTGAGTTCAATTCTGGCACTATCCTCTTGGAGTTAGTATGATATCCCACACATTAAGAGCTCAGTCCCATAAGACAGTCCCTACTTCAGATGCCAGACACAAGTCCAGATCCTCTGGACTTCTGACCTCCTGGCTATAAACTGGGGTTCCTCTACTTAACTAAGTTGTCAGAACTCGTGGAAATATTATACTTACCTTTACTGGATTATTATGAAGGACAACATGCAATCCAGGTCCTGCGCATGGGGCTTCTGTCCTCATGGACTTGGAGATTCCCCTTCCAGTGGGGGATCTTTCAACAACCAGAAGTCCATTGAATCTCCTGAAAGAGATTTTGTAGAGCTTAGTCTCCAGCATTCCCCTTCAATGTATACTAGCATATGTATACATTTGTGATTGTAAATTAATCTGTATTAGTTGTACATATAGTTAAAGTTATATTTGTATTGACTGCACATATATTTGTGCTTGTAAATGGTGCCATTTGGTAGTATTATCTAATGCATATGTGTATGTGTGTGCCATTTTCTTTTATTTTTATAATTATATAAGTGATAATTACATATTACACTAAATTAAAGCTTCAATTTAAAATAACAATAAAATTATATATATAAGTGTAATTATAAAATCTTATGCCATTTTGTATGGATATATATATATATATACAGATGTACATATGTGCATATTTGTGCTGGCATTTTCTCATATTTTCCAGTTGATTTTTGGTGGCTTAGAGAAATGTTGACTTTTTAAAACTTGTATTTTACCCAGCATTCTTTTTAATTTGTTCCAATAATTTGCTTAGTTTGTTATTTTTTCTATGTAGATTTTTATATACTAATATGAAGAGTTTATTTCTTCTAAACATTATACATCTTAAACTTTAGAATTTTTCTTATAGCATTAACTATGATCTCCAACAACTATATTAAACAATAGTGTGATAGCAAATATTCTGTTTTTTTCTAAGCATAATGAAAATCATATGAAATTTGTCTTTATTATGCTTGTTTTAGATTTTAATATATAAATTTCATCTACTAAGTTCTTAATAATAAATATATATATGGCACTTTATAAGATATTTTTCTTCATCTAGGATACACACATTAATTTTTAAAAAAAGATTTATTATTTGTTTTGTTGTTGTTGTTTATTTGAAATGCAGAGTGATAGAGAGAGAGGGACAGAGACAGAGACAGATCTTTCCCCAATGGTTCATTTAATAAATGCTCATATCACCTGGAGGTGGGCAAGGCTGAAGCAGAGCCCAGAACTCCTTCTAGGTCTCACATATGGGCAGCAGGGACCCAAGAGCCTGGGCCATTATCTCCTGCCCTCTCAGGCACATTAGCAGGGAGCTGGATGGGAAGCGGAGTAGCTGGGATACAGATCAACTCTCCCTTAAGGCTAGATGCATCCCAAGTGGTGACCTAAGCAGTGGCACTAAAACCCCTTCGCTTATATACAATTTTGCTATTCAAGAATGCAGCTTGGTGAAATAAACTGATTGATATATATTCTTACAGATATATTGGTTTATTTGAAAGGCAAAGTTACAGGGAGAGAGGGCAAGACAGAGAAAGAGCAAAACCTCCATCTGTTGCTTACTCCCAAATGGTTGCAATGACCAGGCTGAAGCCAGGAGCCAGGAGTTTCTTCCAGGTCTCCCATGTGGGTGCAGGGGCCCAAGTATCTGGGCCTTTAGCAGGAAGCTGGATAGGAAGTGGAGCAGGCATTGGCAGATTAACCCATTAAGCCACTACACTGGCCTCTAAGTGATTGACATTTTGGTATTGAACTCTATTTGAATACCTGAGAAAATACCACTTATTCACAACATATTTTATACATGATTTTGTTCATGTAAATATTTTATTTAAAATAGCTATATTTATGTTGATAAGAAAATACATTACTTTCTACTTTGAATAACTCTAGGCCCCCAAAATGAATTGGTAAATATTTATTTTTTTGATTTCTCTAATTACATTGTTATATACTTTTATATTAAATATCTGTTTGTTGAAAATTTGTAAATTCACCCATAAATTTATTTGTATTTTGGATTTATTTGGATATTGTGATTTAATTGTTATTATTGTTAATTATTTTCATTTACTTAGTGTTATTGTCTATTCACGCTTTCTGTTTCTGCTTATACATGTTGCTTACATGTTAGTCTATAGGTATTTATAATATTTTTATCATTCTCATATTCTCTTATGAATCTAAAGGTGTTTTCCCTTTTTTATTCTGTATTTCATTTGAATTTTTCTTTTTTGATCAATGTCACAGGAAGATTGTCTATCTGTCATTTTTTCAAACATTATTTATTTGAGAGTTAAAGAGAGGCACACATACACAGAGAGAGAGAGAAAGAGGGAGAGAGGGAGAGAGGGGGAGAGGGAGAGAGGGAGAGGGAGAGAGAGAGAGAAAGAGGGAGAGGGAGAGGTAGGGGGGATAGAGAGATCTTTCATCTGCTGACTCACCCTCTAGATGGCTGTAATGGCTGGGACTGGGCCAGGTAGAAGTCAGGAGCCAAGAGCTTTTTCTAGGTCTCCCACATGGGTGGCAGGGCTTCAGGCACTTGGGCCATCTTCTGCTGCTTTTTCCAATTCATCTACTACAAATCCAGCTTTCTACTAATGATCACTCTAGGAGGTAGCAGGTGATGGCTCAAGTACATGGGTCCCTGTCACCCATGTGGGGCACCTGGATGGAGTTCTAGAATCCTGGCTTTGGCCTGACTTAGCACTGGTTGTTGCAGGTGTTTGGTGAATGAACCAGTGGATGGAAGATCTCTCCATGTCTCTGCCTTTGAAATAAATGATAAGGAAGGAAGGAAGGTAGGAAGAAAGGATGGATCAGTTTTAGGTTCTGTTAATCTTTATAACATGGATTTCTGATTTTCATCCTGTGCTTTTTTTTCTCCTTTTGGGCTTGCTCTATTGTTCTTTGGTCAACTATTTAACACTTAGATTGCTTTTTTATTTTGAGCATTGTGCTTTTATTATTATCAGGACCTAATATTTAATTCTTTCAGTATTTTCTTTTACAGAATTTTGTGTATTATAATTGCAAAACTGGTTTCTTCTGGCTTATAGCATACCTGTTATATTTGTTTCCATCTCTTTTTCTCCAATCTTCAATCTCTTCATAAACAAGTTACTAGATCTGATTTTTTAAAGCCAGGAGTGGTGAGTTTAATCTATTTACATTTATTATAATTATTGAGAACTATTATTATACCTTTTATTTTTAAAATTCCCATTGTGTACACTGGATTATTTCCCTTGCTACTTTGAAAGCTATACTTTTAAGAGGGCCAGTGTTGTGGTGCAGTGGGTTAACACCCTGGCCTGAAGTGCTGGCATCCCATATGGATGCCAGTTTTAGTCCTGGCTGCTCCTTATCTGATCCAGCTCTCTGCTATGGCCTGGGAAAGCTGTAGAAGATGGCCCAAGTCCTTGGGCCCTTGCACCCATGTGGGAGGCCTGGAAGAAGCTCCTGGCTCCTGGCTTCAGATCAGCACAGCTCCAGCCATTGTGGCCAGTTGGGGAGTGAACCATCAGATGGACTTCTCTCTCTGCCTCTCCTCTCTCTCTGTAACTCTGACTTTCAACTAAATAAATAAATCTTTTTTAAAAAAGGAAAGCTACACTTTTAAAATAATTAACCTGTTGTTGAAGTTCTTAACTACATTTATGTTATTAAAAATATTTCAGTAGTAATATATATTCCCTAATAAGACAAGTATTTAATGACAAGTAATGCTCTGTTTGTGTCTCTTCTCTCCTCCTCATCTCTTGTCAAGATCATATTAGAGGGTTTAGCACATGAATATTTTTATAGATATATCTGTTCTCTAGAACTGTGAATATTCCTAGAACTGTGAATATTCCTACCATGATGATGGAAGGATGCTTGTTTGCCATTTTTGAAGAACTACTTTATTAATTTCTGTCAGAATTTTCTTACTCTTTTTAAAGATTTATTTGTTTACTTGAAAAGCAGATTATGGAGAAAGAGAAGGAGATACAAAGTTTGGGGGAAGTTCTTGCATCTGCTGGTTCACTCCCCAGATGGCTGGAAGAGTGGCAAGGCTGGGCCAGACAGAAGCCAGGAGCCTGGAGCTGCATCTTGGTCTCCCACAGGGGTGCAAAGGCCCAAACACTTGGGCCATCTTCCACTGCTTTCCCAGGAACATTAACAGGGGGCTAGATTTGAAGCAGAGCAAAAGGGACTTAAACCACTGCCCATACTGGATGCCAGCACTACAGGTGATGGCTTAACCTGTGACACCACAGCACTGGCCTTCTGTCAGAATTTTCACCATAAAACATTCAATTTTCCTTTCTGATCCCTGGTTTCTAGAAATGGATGCTCTGATTAATATCAAGCAATAAAATATCTTGAACAGTTTGCTATTAATAAGAGCTATTAAAAGTTCATGTTTTTGTGAGATCATAAAATACTATGTTAAAGATAGGGAAGAAAGAATAATTCTTCAGCAAAACTTTAAATGCATTCTTTTCTGTATTCAAAGGTGACTACGAGGGTCATGCTAGGTTTCCTGGATTTTTTTCCTTTCTCAGTAAAATTACTAATGGTGTTTAACAAGTTCTCTGTCAGACGGTGTCTCGATCAACTGCGTCTCACTTTCTAAATTTGTAAATAAGTCCATCCAGGAAAGTACCTGTTCCAAGAAAATACCAATAAAATGCAGCTGTTTCTATGTATGGCAACCTTTTGAGAAGAAAGCTGCTTTCATTTTCCCAGCTTTCAATTAATCGAGGAGGTGGAAGGAACAGGGAGAGTTCACAGAGGAAAATTCCCAAGCGGGTTGCCATATGATGCTGGAATGAGTGAGACACCATTGTGGTTGGTATTTCCATTTATAGTTACATTCAGGCAAGAGTGACAAGATGAGAAGTTTTTGGAGAGAATGGAAGATTATCTTTGTAACTATTGAATTCTACCCCATCATTTAAAATGGTTTGCTTTGGCTTTTTTCTATCACTTTCTTCTGATTTTACCTATCCTTCTGACATTTATTTATGTGAAGTCCTAGTATTGCTTCATTTTGTGAATCTGGATATGACTAGAGCTGCATTGCTCTTGCTTTGAGCTGAACGGTCAATCATTAGAGTCTGGAACCACTGCCCTCAATAGGAGGGTATTGGAACAGAAACAGATTTTTTTGAAACATTTGTTCTTTACTGTCTGTCTGATAGAATATGAAAAGTGGTGAGTTAAAAACCAATAGCCAGACATGAGGTTCCTATGTGTCAGCTACAAGTTAGATAACCAAGACCTGGGTAAATTGTCTAAGGCTCAATGTGTGTTACTAGCATACAAATAGCCCTTTAAAGAAATAATGGTAGGTTTTAAATTTTTTCCATTTGTTTACAGATTTATTTGTCTTGTAGGTGTATCAGTTCTGAAGAGAAGTCTCTTGGTGTGGGGCTCCATGCATTTTGCACAAGAATATTTGGTAAAAATAGATATTTTTTCCAACATCACATCAGACCGGTATTAAATTAAGCAAATGAAATAATTGTTTAGCATAACAGTGTTGGAAAAATCCCTTCTGTTTGTAATGAGCACTTTGCAATCTGTATGAAAATGGCATGCTTAAAGAGATAGGCAGTTTCTCCTGTACTTCAAAGGCCCTATCTGATCCTAATCCTACTTTTTATCTATTAGAAGACTCATAAAGAAAACGAACAGGAAATGATTTGAGAATGTGTACTCAGTCTACTCCCCAAACGCTTAAGAAAACCTTTAAAGTGCAGAACCTTTAATTCAATATTTTACTCTATGAGTGATTTCCCATTTTATTCATCGGATTACTTAGCCTTTATAATTTGGAAACATTATGGTAAAAAACTGTAATTTCTAAAATACACTTTAGAGTATTAGAATTTTATCTTGATGAACTTTGTTGTACAAATAAGGAAAACTGAAATGTTTCCATTTGAAAGAATATATCTTAATTATTGCCATGTTGACGGTTTCTTCTGTCTGTCTGTAATTGTAGCTGGCATTCCTGCACCAATATATTTTGGAGCTTTGATTGACTCCACGTGCTTACAGTGGGGAACCCTGAAATGTGGTGAGCCGGGGGCATGCCGATTTTATGATTCCATTTACTTCAGGTAACGATAACCCTTCCTTAGAACCGCTTCTAAGCACAGATGGTACAGAAAATGGTACCATTCATTGCTAAGATTTCTTTGTCAGTGACAAGTACACCTTGGGCTCTGCTTTCAGATTAGACATGACACTAAGCCTCCACTCCTTACTCACCTGCTAGACTTTTGTTTCCCCATTTTCTCTCAAGTGCTTGATAAATGTAAGCAGGGCTGGCTTCCCTGTTTAGCCTTTCAGAGTTATTAAACTGTGAGCCAGCAGTACACCGCTGGAGGTACTGGGTGTATGCAAGCTACCTAACCAGAAGACATTGCTCTCCAGAGTTTCTTCCTTTCAACCTACATCTTTGCATCACCTTGCTAGTCTGAAGCCTCACTTCCTCTCACCCCCTGCCTCTGTTCTCCTGTGTACTTGTTGTCTTTTCACCAAATTTTGCTGAAGAAATACTATTCATGTCTCCTAATGCCTTATTTTCTATTAATTTAGATATGATTTTGTGCAAAACTCTTTTCTTTTGCTATCCTATTTTCTTTTAATAATTCGGACAATTAAATTTTGTTTAAATTGGGTAAGAAAATATTTCATTTACTGACAACAGTTTAGCATTGTTTAGAACCTTCAAAGATTTTTCTCTTTTTTTGAAAAGCCCATTTTACAAAACATTTATTATTCATTTTCATTTTATTTGCAAGGCAGAGTTGTAAGCAGAGAGAGAGAAAGATCTTTCATCTGCTGGTTCACTCCTCAATTGCCTGAACAGCTGGGGTGGGGTTCTGCTGAAGCCAGGAACCAGGAACTCAGTATGCAATTTACAAAATTAGTACAGTCTTAATACTCCTACTGGATGAGCTCAGCACATGAAAAGATCGTACGGTGATATAAATATACATGAAAACTCTACGTAAAATTAACAAATTGAATCTAATAATGTATAAAAATCACTAATGGAGTTTATTTTAGAAATGCAAGGATGGGCTGGCGCCGTGGCTCAATAGGCTAATCCTCCACCTAACGGCACTGGCACACCGGGTTCTAGTCCCAGTAGGGGCGCCGGATTCTTTCCCGGTTGCCCCTCTTCCAGGCCAGCTCTCTGTTGTGGCCCGGGAAGGCAGTGGAGGATGGCCCGAGTACTTGGGCCCTGCACCCCATGGGAGACCAGGATAAGTACCTGGCTCCTGCCATCGGATCAGCGCGGTGCGCCGGCCGCAGAGCTGGCCATTGGAGGGTGAACCAATGGCAAAGGAAGACCTTTCTCTCTGTCTCTCTCTCACTGTCCACTCTGCCTGTCAAAAAAAAAAAAAAAAAAAGAAAGAAAAAGGAAATGCAAGGATGGATGAATATATAAAACAATCTACTGGTATAACACACCCTATGAATATAGGAAATGTGAAAAAACTAAATGCAGAAAAGTGATTCATAATAAAAAAAAAATTGAGTGGACTAAGAGTAGAGAAGAAAAGCTTCCTTAACCTGATGAAGGTCACTGAAAATGACACACAAGGTTTCTATCAGTTAATGGAGATTCTACAGAGGCACGCTTATCCAATACTGAAATAAATCTAACACCGTCAGCATTAAATTTAAGTTACAGGTTCTATTCAGTTCAGGCAGTCATAATAAAATCAATGACAAAGGATTAGAAAAAAAGGTAAATTTAGATTTTCTGCATGGAACCCTTCTCCAATTTTTTTAACAAAATTGGAATTAAAAGAGCTCAACAGAGCTATTTATGTAAGCTTGACATGTAAAACACTAGCTGTTCAGCGCGCCAGCCGCGGCGGCCATTGGAGGGTGAACCAACGGCAAAGGAAGACCTTTCTCTCTGTCTCTCTCTCTCTCACTGTCCACTCTGCCTGTCAAAAAAAAAAACAAAAAACAAACAAACAAAAAAAACAAAAAAACACTAGCTGTTATTGTCCTTAAAGGAATAAAATGTCAATAAAGATATAAAAATTTGCTTGTACTAACAATATGGCCTATGTAAGATTTAATACGTTTAAATATTTTTTTTTAAACTAGATACATTTACCTCGGATTGCCAGCAGCTCTGCGGGGATTGAGCATTTTTCCAGCCATATGGATCCTGGTTCTTTTGCGGAACCGTCGGCTGCCCGGTGAAACTGCTCCTCCAGGAACTGAACTTGAGACTAAGGATACAGAGAAGCAAAATGAGTTGAAAGACGTCCACCAAAATTCCAAGATTTCAAATGATGATGAATTAAAAACTAAACTGTAATGTACTATTTGATCATCCCTCTCAGATTGGGAGAATGTACTGTACAACTTAGTTGTTTTAAAAATCAATAGAGGTACTACAGGTAACTTTTTCTTGTCTTTAAGAACCTCAAAAATGTTTTGTACTCATGATAAAAATGTTTGCTGATAGTATTTCTGAAATAACAAAATCGCATTTGAGATTTTGCCAAGGGGAAAATTTATTGCAGCCTCCTAACCAGAATTTTAGACCAGCTTCATGTTAATGTTAAAACAGCAATTCTCTCTTAACTCTCACAAAGTAAGGGTATATTTCCTATATCACCTTTCAAAATAGTTTGAAAATTTACTGTATAAAATTTACTTAAATCTTGAGTTTGTGCTTTGATATAGAGACACTCAGAAATGGAAATTTTCATTCTGTTTATATGAACACTTAAATATTTTATTCAAATTTATCACTTCTAACAGATGTTATCTTTTTCTGTGAGAACATCTACGTTATATTATTCTGTTTAGGAATTGTTCTTTGACTCTTCATCTTCATTCCTGACACATCTTTGAAACAGATGACTCAGTGATGTGCCATTTCTTGCTTTCAGCTGTCTCCCTTAATACTCATATCCTATGATTTGCTCATTTTGTCCAGAGAATTGAGTAATTAATCAGGTAATTAAAAATCTTGTAGAAAAGACTGTTGGAACTATTTTTTTTAAAGCAGTTCATATCTGTCAGTGATGTCATTCTGAAAAGTAAATGCTGAGTCTAGGAATAAAAGGACAATATTAGGAAAACAGTCTTTAGCAACTTGTTGTAGTTTCAGATGTTGTCAAAGGGTGACATTCCCACATTCAGGGGAAGACCCCATGGACCAATGTTTGTGACACCTCTTGGGGCCTAAGTTAGAACACAGATACTAATTTTCCACAAATCATCTTAAAGAATGAAAAAGTATTTGAAAACCATGAAATGGAGATGAATAGAATTCAAGGGGCACATTAAAAACTATTTTGTACCTTATGAGTGCAGTCACAGAAGGGAACGTTTTTAGTGGTACAAGAAAATGTACTGGTAATATAGGACTTCTCGTTTGAGAGTCCTATCCTAGAATGCTGTGAGAGACAGTGAACACCTGTTGTAGAAGGTCGCAGGAGAAGCAGATTTTTCCTGGTGTGTGTGATTTTCTTGGTGTGTATTTTTTCTTAGTGTGTAATTTCTTAGCAATTCTTCGTGGTGAAGAAATGCTCACTGATGAATCTCAGATTTTAGAGGATTTTGGTGATGGTGGACTGAGATCCAGAGATCACAGTGAATGTGCACATTTTGGGGAACAGGAATCTGAGACAAAAACTGAAGAGTAGAAGGCAAAGGGAAATCAGACTTAGGGAAAGCAGAAGGGAGCTGTAAGATGACATGGAACTCTGGGACTTGTAGGTGAATGACACACACAGGAACAAAGGACGTAATGAGATTAGTGTGAGTAAAGCTGTGACAGAACCAGGCAGGTGGGGACTGGGCTCCTCTGGGTCTCCTCTGTCACGGAGGCAAGCTGAGAAGCAGAACTGGTGGCCTTTTGCCACTCCTATTGATCGATTTGAGGTTATCAGAGGAAGCTGGGCCTTACTTTGCACATAGCTCACCCAGAGGCCCTGGCAGACATAGCTTTGGACTCATGCCTGAAGTTCTTTCTTACCACTCATGGGAGGGATGGCATTTGACTCTGGGAACAAACAGTTCTGTCTTGACTCTGCTCAGTGAGGGAGAAGCAGCCAGAGAAAGGGGTGTTGAGTGCTTTGGGTTCCCCCAGGATCTCTTCCGCTGGCACCCAAGAGGCCTAGAAAGATCAGTTCTTATTCTGGGAACTTTTACAGCTCTCATGCGGGAAGAGATGATGGCATGGCAGGCAGAGTTGGAGAACAGGATTGGGAGAACAGGTCATGAGAAGTCTAGGGTCATGAATTTTCTCATTTAATATTTTTGGGAGTCTGTAGTTAATGGAATTAGAATAACCAATTTTATAGAAATTTTGAAAGTTAACTTCAGAAAAAAAACACACAGAAAATTTAAAAAGAAATGCAAAAAGAAGGAAAAACCACCCCTCATGCATGCTGGCTAGCAGTTGTGTTTTAAAACTTGTTAAGTGAATATTAAATTGTATATGCATTTTTTTTAAAGATTTATTTATTTGTTCCAAAGTCAGAGTTACACAGAAAGAGGAGAGGCAGAGAGAGAGAGAGAGGTCTTCCATCCGATGGTTCACTCCCCAGATGGCCGCAATGGCTGGAGCTACGCCAGTCCGAAGCCAGGAGCCAGAATCTTCTTCCGGGTCTGCCATGCGGGTGCAGGGGCCCAAGAACTTGGGCCATCTTCTACTGCTTTCCCAGGCCATAGCAGAGAGCTGGATTGGAAGAGGAGCAGCCGGGACTAGAACCGGCACCCATATGGGATGCCAGTGCTTCAGGCCAGGGCGTTAACCCACTGTACCACAGGGCTGGTCCCTTGTATATGCATATTAACATTATGGAGTTCACCATCAGATCAATAAAAACTAGAACCAGGGGCTGGCATTGTGGCACAGCAGGTAAAGCTGCCACCTACAACGCTGGCATTCCATGTTTGTGCTGGTTTGTGTCCTGGCTGCTCCACTTCCAATCCAGTTCCCCGCTAATGGCTTGGGAAAAGCACTGGAAGATGGCTCTAGTGTTTGGGCCCCTGCCACCCATGTGGGAGACCCAGCTGCAGCTCTTGGGTTTGGCCTGGCCCAGCCCTGGACATTGCAGCCATTTGGGGAGTGAACCAGAGGATGAAATATATATCTCTGTGTCTGTCTCCCTCTCTCTTTCTCTCTCTCGCTCTTTCAAAGTAAATAAATAAATCTTAAAAAAAAAAAAAAAAAAAAAAACTAGAATTGCTACTCAGTGGTTTCCTCTGGGACACTGGACTTACCATGAAGAGGATCAAAGAACAACGCATTTGTCTTTCTTTTCACACCTTCTGTGTTCTTTGGTTCTTTTTTTTTCACCTGTAAAAATAAAACACAATTAAAAATATTTTATAAAGGTTATATGTGAGTAAAAACAATAGTACTAAATAAGATAATGTAGTTCATAGAAGGGGAAGAAGACATGTTGAGGATTACCAACAGGTGTTTGTGGAACTACTGTTTTCTTATGTATTTGATTCTTGAGGATATGTGTGTTGGTGAGAGGGGTGAAAACTAGTACGTCATAAACCACAGAATTCGAGTAGAATGTAACCTGGTATCATTTTATTAGAGTGAATGAATATACCCAGCAAACAATTATAGATTACTAAATAAAAGTGCTTGGTAATTTCAACACTATGGGTATGTAGTAAGTTACTAACTGGAGTTTTTGGGATAAGCTTCTAATGCAAGTCTTGGTGAGAAATCATGGCTATGGATTAATGAGGACAAAGAAAAAACCCCACTCCTTATTGAATAACTAATAAAGTCAAATAACAGAATATCCCATTTGTTGTTGGCTGTGGTTAGAAATAACTGTCTAGGCCAATGAGATATTGGCTGGGGTTTCTTAATTGGGAAAGGGATTTCTTTCTGAAATAAATAGACAAAGCTTTCTGAGAGGACACATTGCCCATTTTCCTTTTCCCTGCCTGAACTGTGCATGTTTGACCTCAAGGAGTTAGGGGAGGGAGAGATGGAGGGAGGGAAGGAGAGTATTATGAATATTTTCTTGGAGTTGTACCTGTGGAATGCATATTGATAAGCAATATTTATTGATAATGATATATTCTCTTTATATTAATAAACAATAAAAAAGAATTCAAATTTGTAAGGCAAAGAAAAGAAAAAGATGTCAGTGACACGAGCATTCAGAAATCCTAAAAACTACACACAAAATAGCAAAAAATCAATAAGTTAATCTAAGCAAGTGGACTGGATAAAAGGGCAACATAGAAAATCAAGCATGGTCTTCATATTTCAGTAGCAGTTAGAATGCAGTGTTATTATTACATTCTGCTGTGCTTGGGATATGGTTTGAGGGTGCTCCCCAAAGGGTCCAGTGTTAGAAGCCTGGTCCCTTGTATGGTGATGTGAAAAGTGATGAGGAATCTTTCAAAGACAGGCATTAGCGGGAGGTGTTTAAGCCACTGGGGTAACTGCCCTTGGATGAGGTTAATGCAGTTTTCATGATAACCCAGTGAGTTCTCACAGGAAGGATCGCTATGGAAGAACAAGCCTGGTCCCTTGCCTGGCTCAGAGGTCCAGTCTCACCCTGTGGTCTCTCCCTCTCACACACACTGCCACCACGCAGCCAGGTCCCATGATGTGACAGCCAAGGAGCCCATCACAGGAGCTAGAGCCATGCTGTTGGGTCTTTCTGCCTCCAAAGCTGTGAGTTGAATAAACTTCTCTTGTTTTTAAAGTGCCCAGCCTCAGACACTTTTTACAGAGAAAGAAAATGGAATAATACACATTCAACTTAGTGTAGCATAAAAAAATTTCCTCATTTAAATCCAAGAAACCAATCTCCCAACAGGTGTCCCAAACATCTACCCTCGAACTACAGAAATGTTATTCAGAGAAATTAAGACCCATAACATGTTCATTGGCTGAAAGACTTAACATTGTAAGGATGCTGATTCTTGTAAAATTCATCTACAAGTTCAACAAAATCCCAACCAAACTACTAGCATCTTTTGAAATGTGAGAGAGAGAGAAAGAGAGAGAGAGAGAGAGATCGAGAGAGAGAGATCATCCATGCTCTGGTTCATTCGCCAAATGGTTAAAACAGCTAAGGCTGAAAGGCTGAGCAGGCTGAAGTCAGGAACCAGGAGCTCCATCCTGGGTTCCCATAGGGGCTGCATGGGCCCAAGCACTTGGGCCATCTTCCACTGCTTTCCCAGGTGCATTAGCAGGGAGCTGGGTCAGAAGTGGAGCCGCAGGGACGCACATCTGTACTCCAAAATGCAATGCCAACACGCCAAGTGCTGGCTTACCCTGCTGAGCCACAGTGCTGGCCCCAAGTCTTTGCTATTTTTGTATGTCAACTTGATGGGTCATGGTACCTAGATTTTTAGTTAAATGCTGTTCTAGATGTTTTTGTGAAGGTTTCCATTTTTTTTTGTTATATTAACATTCAAATTAGTAGACACTTACCCTCTACATGAAAGGTCTTAATAAAGACTGAACTTTCCAGACCTCGTGCCAGCTGACTTCCTCTGCACCAGAATGCAGCACTGACCCTTCCTCAGGTCTACATTCTGCATGGCTGCCTGCATTTATGTGTGTATATGAGGGTGCCTGAGAAATCTCATGACAATTTTGCATTATCCTGTAATGCAGTTTTTTCATGAACTTCTCAAAGTCTCCCATATACTATTTTTTAAAGCTTTTATTTATTTATTCGAGATCTAGAGTTACAGACAGTGAGAAGGAGAGACAGAAATAAAAGTTTTCATCCACTGGTTCATCCCCAAATGGCCGCAATGGCCAGAGCTGAGCTGATCTGAAGCCAGGAGCCAGGAGCCAGGAGCTTCTTCTGGGTCTCCCATGTAGGTGAGGGGCCCAAGTGCTTGGGCCATCTTCTACTGCTTCTACTGCTTTCCCAGACCATAGCAGAGAGCTGGATCTGAAGAGGAGCAGCTGGGACTAGAACTGGTGCCCATATGGGATGTGGGTGTCGCAGGCATAGGATTAATCCACTGTGCCCTAGCACTGGCTATATACAATTATCTGTTAGTTCTATTTCTCTGTAGAATCCTAATTTGAGGATACCTCAAAAATTTTTAAGAAAATAGAATTTTAAAGATAAGTTTATTGGATGTAAAATAAGTTTGAAATCTATGAATACAAGGATGCTTAGAAAGTTCATGGACAATGTATATTATGACAAAATTATACATGAAATGTCTCACTCACACCTCAAGTAAGAGAAACACTGGGTAAAATGTGTGACTTATGACTTTCCTTGAATCCATCAACGAAATGAAATTTTGGGCAAAGTGTTAGCTGGGACTCTGGATGAAACCAGTTCTCAAAGGGAAACACAAAAGCGGACATTTGCTTACTTCGGGAATGCTGTGGTTTAGATGTGGTTTATTCTCTAGGAGATTTTGTATGTGGGAAGCTTGGTCCCCAATGTGGAGGAATTAAGAGGCTTTGGCACCTTTAAGAAGCAGGGTTTATGCTGCCTGCAGAGGGGATGAGGTCGTTCTCCTGGGACCTGCTTAGCTCTCGTGAGGCTGGCTTGTTAGTTAACACAAAGAGCAAACCTGATCCTGTATTGCTCTGGATTGCGGTCTCTTCATGGATCTCTCCCACAAGCACTGTGGTTCCACCTGCCACGGAGCACCCCCAGGGCTGAGCAGATGCAGCTCCCAGTCTTGGACTTTGAGCCTCTAGAACTGTGAGCTAAATCAGCCTCTTTCCTTTAAATTATTCTGCTAGGAGTATTTTGTTACAGCAACAAAAACGGAGTAATTACAGGACAGAAGCCAATTTACACTGTAATAGTCAAATCACTTAGCTAGGATGTTTTTCAAAGTTTTGTTTGTTTTATTTTATGGGGGGGGGAAGAGAGGGGAGAGAAGGGGAAGAGAGTGGGGGGGGAGAAGGGGAAAGGGGGGAGAGAGAGAGAGAGAGAGAGAGGGAGGGAGGGAGGGAAGAGGGAGGGAGGGAGAGAGTGCTCCTAGTAGTTCACTCTGCAAATGCCTTTACCAACCAGGGTTGAGCGAGGCTGAAGCTAGGATTCTAGAACTCATTGGATCTCCCATACGGGTGGCAAGAACCCGACTACTTGAGCTGTCACTGTTGCTTCCCAGGGTGTGCACTAACAGGAAACAGGATCAAGAGTAGAGTTAGGACTCAAAGTCAGGCACTCTGATATGGGACACAGGTGTCCTAACAGGTGGCTTAACTGCTTTCACAAATGCCTGTCCCTCCAAATTTGTAATAAATTACCAAAGACAAAGTATGTGTTGGCAGAAGAGGATGAAACCCCTGAAGGCTGGAGATGTTATGGCTTCAGTTTTGCAGTTGGTTTACCCAGGAGCCCAGGCAGGCACCTTCAGGAAAGATTGGTGAAAATCTCCCAAGAAACCTACAGGTCCCAGCTGGGCTGGGAAAACAGCAAACACTGCTCAAGCTCTGCTCAAGACCCATGTCTGTCTTCTCCTCCAGGGAGACAAAGTCTTCATCTCCAGTATGGAAGTAAAACGGGAGCTATGGCTTGAAGCTGGGCATTTGGCTAAGAAGTGAACTTGGCTTGGGATGCCCTCACCTACATCAGAGTGCCCGGGTTCCAGTCCCGGCTCAGCTCCGGATTCCAGCTTCCTGCTAATATGCACCCTGGGAAGCAGCAAGAGATGGTCCACGGACTTGAGTCCCTTCCACTCCTGTGGGAGACTCAGTTTGAGTTCCTACCTCCTGGTCTCAGCCTGGTACAGCCCATCTAATGTGGGCATTTGGGACTGAACCAGTGGGTGGGAGATTTGTGTCTCTCTACTTCAGATAAAGAAACATTTATAAACTCTATGCATTGAAGGTACCGGTGAAAATGCCTTTAGCTGGGAAGGGAAGCAAGATAGAAAAGCTTCACTCTGGGAGGAGGATCAGGTCGACCTCAATTCCCAGGTTCTCAGAGCTGGAGACCGAGCGTAGTCGGCACAGCAGAGAACCCCCTCCCCCACACCCTCCCCATACTGATACTCCTCTAGTAAAAACGACCTTGGGATATATCTGGAAATGTTGAAGAGACAGGTCATTCCTGGATGATAGGGCGGAGGGAACAACCAAACCTGCACAGCAAGCAGACCCTACACAGGAGGTTTTCCTGGAGGAATTTGAGGCCCTTGATGCTCCCAAGGGAACCCCAGTGACAACAAACTTCAAAGCCCTGTCCCACTTCTGACACTCCC